GTAGCAACTGTGGGGTGAGATGCTAAGGAATGGGTAGAGACATTCTGCCAAATAGTATGAAAGTCAGAGCCAATCCCACCAGAGCACGGAGGCACCAGTGTGGGTCTAGATGACAAGAGTTATTTCTCATTTAGAGCTGGTGATATTCTTGGACATGAAGCTGCCCTTTTCGCTAAAGTTCTGACATATTTCATCACGTAAATCATGGCCATGCCTCCCTTTCACAATAAATGGATGATATGCAAACTAATGAATGAGAAAGAAACCACGTGGGTCAGACACACTACAAAGAGAGCCACAATTCAAGAGACCCAGGTGACTGTCTGGAGCCTCCCTTTATGAGCTCTGAAAGGAGGAGTTTTGTTGATAAGGGCCTAGGGACGCTGTTGCAGAGTATCCCTTCACACTGTGTGAAGATGTGGCACTATGATTGGTTTAATAAAGAGCTGAATGGCCAATAGCTAGGCAGGAAGCTGTTAGGCGGGACTTCTGGGGACAGAGAGGACTTGGAGAGGAAGAAAGGCGGGGTCACCAGCCAGGCGTGGAGAAAGCAGCATGAACGTTGTGGAGAAATGAGGTAACAAACCACGCAGCTGACCACAGATGAAAATGAATGAGTTCATTCAAGTTATAAGAGCTAGTGGGACAAGCCTAAGCAAAGGCTGAGCTTTCATAATTAATAATAAGTCTCCATGGCATTATTTGGGAACTGGTGGTACAGAGAAAGACTTGCTACATGTGGTGTCTGATGTCCAAACATAGGGTCTGAGAAAGCTAAGAAAAGTTCTTGACAAGGAGCTGGATGTAGCTTTCTAGCCCTGCAGTCTCTCAGGAGGCCTGGTGTTTGGTGGCAGGCAGAGGTATGGCTACTGGCTGCTGCCTGCGGGCTAGAGCCAGCCACCAGCGCCACACACTTAAGCTGAGCCGCATGGCTGCTGACAAGAAGTTTAAGATTTGTCTCACATGATCAGAGAACACTGCAGATGCTTAGTAAAGCCAGGTCCAGACACAGAAAAGCTCTTTAAAAATTGACAGTATATCTAAAAATGTGCTCAGATGCTGAAGAAAGAAAAGGGTATAGACCATCATAGAAAAAATGGTTTAAAATTAATAAAGTCTTGAAGAGAGAGTAAAATAATATCTTTTTAAATCCACATAAAGATGGGAAATACACAGGGCATCTGGATACACAGGGTGTTTTGTTGACTGTAATTGGTTTTTTTGCTCTTTGAGGGCCCACCACCCAGCTCCCAAATAAATGCATGGAGTCTTGTTCTTACTTAAGAATGCCCAGCCTTAGCCAGGCTTATTTCTAGCCAGCTTTTCTAGCTCAACATATCCCATTTCTCTTTAACTATGCTTTGCCTCTGGGCTTTTTACCTTTCTTATTCTATATTTCTTTCTTTCCTTCTTACTCTGTGGCTGGCTGGGTGGCTGGATGGCTGTGTGGCTGTGTGGCTATGTGGCAGGGTGGCTGGGTAGCTGTGTGGCTGGGTGGCTTTGTGGCTGGGTGGCTGGGTGACTAGGCTGGGTGGCTGGGTGACTGGGTGGCTGGGTGACTATGTGGCTGGGTGGCTGGGTGACTGGATGGCTGGGTGACTATGTGGCTGGGTGGCTGGGAGGCTGTGTAGCTGGGAGGCTGAGTGGCTGTGTGGTTGGCTGGCTGTGTGACTAGGTGGCTGGGTGGCTGGTCCTGGCGTCCTCCTCTCCTCCTTTTCTTGCTCCTCACCCTTCTCTGGATTTCTCCTCCTATCTATTCTCGCTGCCTGCCAGCCTCACCTATCCCTCACCTGCCTTGCTATTGGCCAATCAGCTCTTTATTAGAACAATCAGGTGTTTTAGGCAGGCAAAGTAACACAGCTTCACAGAGTTAAACAAGTGAACATAAAAGAATGCAGCCTGTCTTTGCATCGTTAAACACACTTCCCACAGCATAAACAAATATGGCACATCCTAAACTAAGATTCACAATGGTCGACTTTGAATTTTTGAATGCTAATGAAGAGAGACCTGCAGATGCTGAGAGACACTGGAATGTGGAAAGGACCGCTGAATTAAACCAGCCTGGATACTCTAGAGATAACTTGGCTCACCCTTAACCACCCTAGATACACTAGAGATGACTGGGCTTCATCCTTAACCACCCTAAATACTCTCGAGATAACTGGGCTTCAGAATGGAAACTGAGCAATGTGTTGCATTAGCGAGAAAGACATTATTTCATATGGCATGGAGAAAGATTTTTATTATAGTTTGGTTATACAATCCAAACAAACTATAAAGTTAACAGGTGTCTTTTACCTGCTCAAACATAGAACAAAAAACAATCTTTAACTTATGTGGGCACACTGCACATTCCATACTTAGGTTAATGTGGAGATATATGTTACCTTTAAAAGTTTGTTTTTGGGAGGAGGCAGAAATCTTTAATAAATAAATAAATTTAATAAAATAAAATCCCCAAAGAGGCACAGTCTTAAAAAAAAGAATCACATGTAATTGAAATGAATGATATGAACATAACAAAAGATTTTTGAGTAAATACAAATATTGCAAACTACAAAAAAAAAGTTTGTATGTTTTCAGAAAAAAAGAACCAGATACCAATAAAGACAAGAAGTTCAAGTGATCCAGCCTCTCAGAATGTATGTCTATGACACTTTTTTCAAAATTCTACATCCGGAACAACTTCAAACCTGCTAGCTGAGATGGTCCAGTCTCACAGACTACTCTCGCCAGGACTTTGGATAAGCCCTGCAGTTTTCCGTTACACAGAGACTGAACAACAAATGATACAGCTGGCTCTCCAGGACTTGACCAGTATCCCAGTCTCCTGAGGGTCCACTAAAGATTCCATCATCCCCAGAAATGGAGAAGTCTACAGAACATGATGCCCGCATTCCCAAGAGGTGGAGGGGGTGGACTTTAGTCATACAATGGGTTATGGATCTTTGTCATCATTTAGGGGAATTAATTATGATTTGTTATTGGCCATGGTCAGAAAAAAAGGCTGAACATGAAGATTAGTAGGTACCTCTTTCTGAAGGAACAAGAGGGGATGCAGTATAGAAATGGTGGCATAAATGGTGTATTGTAACTTTGAACAACTCTGCCACCTTCAGAAGTGTCCCTAACACCCCAGGCTCCTGAAGAACTTCCTCTGGGCCCCTCAGCCCCAATTCTGTTGGACTGATTCTGTTGACTTACATGTTTGGACTCCACCATGGACTCTTAGGGAGCAGACAGTCATGTCCTTTCTGCCTCCCCAGTGACATGCCTAGAACTTGGTCTACCAGAAGTTATAAAGAGATGGCTCCCTCCCCAGCCCTCTAGAAAATCCATCCCCTGACTGGCTAGGAGTACTTTTCTCCCCATTTTTCAGATGTGAAAATTCACAAGGACAGAAGCATGCTGTTACATGTTTATTGTGCCCCGGGCACTGTTTGAAGCACTTTACGTGCAGAATACAGCTGAATGCTTAGGAGAACGAGGCGGTTGTCTTCATTTCGTAAGTAGGAACTACCTGTGATAGGTCAAACGGCCTGCGAAAGTCTACAAAGTGGTGTTCCCCCAGGCCTTTCCCCTCCCAAGCTTTGTGGTCTGTGGCACCTCTCCCTCCGTCTGCACAATCACCCACCCAATATTTTCTGTGTTTCTCAAATTGAGATATATTTGAAGAAAATAATTTTCAAAATGTAGTCTAGGGCCCAAGACAAACAAGGCTTCTCTCCTCAGGGTGCTCTGGAGGCCAGGGCAGAGGTGGAAATACTTTCCTATTAAAATCGGCATCAGAACAAATTCAAATAATTCTTTTTGATTTATTGCATTGAGACAGTTAGCCTGGATAGCCCTGGATAGCCCTGCAGTCTCTATGTATCTGGGAATGGAGGGAGTCCTGATCCTCCTACCATCACCTCCCAAGGGCTGAGATAACAGTCAGGTGCTGTCATGCTTGGCTCACATAAAAACGTTGTTTTCCAATGGTGGAGCACGGGTTTTCAAAGTACGACTTAATGAGTCTCTTTATTTCCTCAGTGTCTGTTGTTATGTCCCCCTTTTCATTTCTGATTTTGTTACTTTGGATGTTCTCTCTCTGCCTTTTGGTTGGTTTGGATAAGGGTTTGTCTATCTTGTTGATCTTCCCAAAGAACCAACTCTTTGTTTCATTGATTCTATTTGTTCTCTTGATGTCGGTTTTATTGATTCCAGCCCTGAGTTTGATAACTTCCTGCATCTGCTCCTCCTGGGTGAGTCTGCTTCTTTTTGTTCTAGAGCTTTCAGGTGTGCTGTTAAGTCGCTCGTGAGATTTCTCCAAATCCTTTATGTAGGCACTTAGTGATATGAACTTTCCTCTTTATTACTGCTTTCACTGCGTCCCATGGGTTTGGGTATGTTGTGAATTCATTTTCATTGAATTGTAGGAAGTCTTTAATTTCTTTATTTCTTTCCTGGAACTGGCTGCCTTCGTGGTCCACCGTGGTCTCTGGTCCTGCTGCCTGCCGCTGCTCAGGGACCTGCAGCATGGTCTTCTGGCCCGTTGCCCACTGTCACCACTCGGGAACCTGCAGCGTTTTACTTAAACCATTACGCTCAGTCCCAGCCACCCAGCAAGACCAGAGGCTGAGACCAAAGATTTCATTTGTATTTCAAGATCTTTATTATTTTTTACATTATTTATTTTGAGAGAGAATGAGTCAGTCTCGTGAGGGAGCGTCAATCTGGTCACAGGATACCTAGTGGGTCTTGGGGTCAAACTCGAAAACTGTTTCCTGCAAATGCATCTAACCGCTAGGCTCTTGCTGAGGCCCACAATGAAGCCAGGACCCGCAGCTGGCAGAGCTAGGCCTGGGCCACCTGTCTGAGGCCTCACTGTAGGACTCAGCCAACCATGATAAGCTTAATAGGAGCAGAGCACCCAGAGAAAGTTCTTAACTTTCAACCATTATCACCTGCCAGTGTGAGACCCAGCTACAAATTCAACCTGGTTGCTGGAAGGACCACTGCACGTGATCTGGAGACGCCGCTCCGGGATTGGCCGTACGGCGGTGACGTCAGACGCGACGTTGGCGGCGTTGGCGGGCGCACGATTGAGACGGCGGCGGAGCGTTGGGTCCGGGGCGCTCACTCATGAGGAGCCGGAAGGTGAGCGGCCGGGCGGGCAGGACGCGAGCCGCAGTCTGGGGAGCCGAGGAGGGGCGGGCGCCTCGCTTGACTCGGCCGGCGGCGGCTGCTCGGCCCGGCCGCCTCGGATCCCCTCCAGCCCCGCCCCGGGAGTGCGGCTCCTGCACGGCCTCCTCCGGGCTCGGGGCTGCAGGACTCAGGGCTGGCGCTGGGACCGAGTGGGGCCCCTGACAGTGCGGCTCCCTGCCCTGGCGTCCTGTCCCGGCCACGCTGCACAGACCCGGGCACGCACGGGGCAGCCGGCCTCAGCCAGACCCCTGCGTCACGTTTTCGGGGCAGAGGACCAGCAGTGTGACAGTGGGGAGGGTAGCTGGGCCTCACCCCCCCCCCCCCTGCAGAGGGACTCTGACCCGGCAGGGCTTGCACGGCGGGGACCGTGTCCTTTAGCCTGAAGTGTGCCCTCCGTCTCCAGGTGGCCAGAATCCCGCTGACATAGGCTGAACTGTATAGGCGGCTGCCTGTAGTGTCGCTGATAGGCAGCTGTGTGCCATGTCAGCTGCTGTCCCCCCCCCCCCCCCCCCGCTTTGCTTGCACAGGCGTTGAGGTTTGAATTTAGCAGTTTTTCGCTGTGCTGCTTCCTCCCTCGTGTGAGGGTTTGCAGAGCTGAGCTGCCTCCGTGCCAGTGAGATACAGAGCGGCCTCACTCGCCTGGGTCGCTCCCCACGTTTTGTGATATTTTGTTTGCCATCTAGTGACAGTCCAGCCCTGCAATCGTGACTTTCCCATTTTCCACAGGAGCCACTGGCCTGGGCCAGCAAGGCGCCCTCATATCCACCCCTTTGTTATTGCTTGCATGTCATGACCAGGTTGCCTCATTTACCCGAGAGAAGTGTGTCTAAAGTATCCTGTACACGGACTTCCCTTGGGGCGGGGTGCCCCTGTGTGTGTTTGGGCCCCTGCTGGGGTCATTAGCTTCAGCCAGCGCTCCCAGCTGTTCTAAAGCAGCTGTCCTCAGTTGGCATCAGGGAATTTCTTTATCCGTGCCTTCATTTTACAGGACAGGTTTCCTGGTGCGGATTTTCTTAGCTGGCATTTTGTTTTGAGTGTACCAAGTGCACTCAGTGTGGCTCCCACTGTTTCTGCTGAGTAAGGGGCTGGCTTCTTACCAGTCTTTCCGAGATTAGCACTCTTACGGGGTGGTCCTGTCGGTGGTTTATCCTCCTCTCCTCTTTTGTCACAGAGGTGGCCTGTCACCTTGAAGTTGAGTTTAAGATTCCTCCATGTATGGATTTCTGCTTTCAGTAAACAAAGGATCTTTTCAGCCATTATTTCTTCGAGTACTTTTTGATTTAAGGCCAGGAATTTCTAGGCCAGCTGCGGCAATAGGCTGATGTGAGAGACAGTTGTGTGTGGTGGCGGAGGCTGTGACTCCAGCACTCAAACAGCTAGAGCAGACGGATGGAGCTTGCGTTCAAGACCTGTCAGAGTAATTGGATGAACCTTTCTCAAGAAAATGTTTTGAAGGGGTGGAGCTGGGAGTGTGGCACAGCTGGGCGAACGCTTACCTAGCGCAACTTGATCCCCGTCCCACATAAACCAAACGTAGCAGCTCACATCTGTAAGCCAAGCACTTGGGGAACAGCAGCAGGTTCAGGGGTGCAAGGTCCTGGCTGGAGCTATAGCACAAGGTACAGATTCTGCCAAGCACACAGTAGGCCCTGGATGCCACCCCAGAATAAAAAATAATAATAATAAAATAAACACTACGTGGAGCAGGAGCTATGTGCTCTGGTCCGTAGGATGGGGACTGCTGAAGGGGTGGACAGAGATGAGTGCAGGAACTGGGGTTTCTGACTCATCTTGCTTTTGCCAGGGGGACTGATGGTCCTGAGCCTCCACAGTGGACAAGTGGGCAGCCAGCCTTGCATCTTTTGTTTTAAATTGTGTGTGTGTGTGTGTGTGTGTGTGTGTGTGCGCGCGCGTGCGCGCGCGTGCGCGCGTTGAGGGGGGGCATGTGCCACAGCACGGGTGGAGGCCAGAAGACAACTTCCAGAAGTTGGTTCTTTCCTTCCACTACTTGGGTCCTTAGGATTGAACTCAGGTCCGCTATTCTGGTGGCAAGCCCCCTTTCCCATTGAGCCATCTCTCTGGCCCTGGACCCTGTGTCTAAACCTAGACAGTTGGGCTGGACCACCTTAGGCCGAAGCAGTCTTTGCCTGTAGGTGAGGGAGTGTGGGCAGAAACGCTCAGGCTCGGAGCTGAGAAGCCGCAGCTCGGCTGGTGTGCCATAGCCCGCTCTCTGAGCGTCACTCTTGTCCAGCTCACAGGTGGAGTGCGATCCTCAGCGCGCCTTCAGGCCCGAAGCCACTCTCCAGCCAGGTCGGCCTCTGCCGAGGGCATTGCCAGCTCCACATCTGTCAAGACAGCATGTCTGGTGAGCTTCGTTACCAAGGACACCGAGGCCTTGGCTCCGTCCCTTCTACAGTAGTCACCCCGAGATGTGTTGTGTGAAATATGAGCTGTTGCTGCTGTGTGTAGACTGGGAGACATTTCAGAGGTCCTGTACATGTTGTCACTGCAGTCAGAGGGGTGCACGTTGCAACACAGCTGAGTTTGCTTTTGTGCACTATGCTCGTGCGTGGATGGAAGTGTGCTAGCAATCCAGACAGACAGCTTTCCGCATAGTGCCGCTTTGAAGGTGGCCTGTGCAGCCATGTGAGTCTGTCACTGCTTCACCCCTAGAGTGGAGCAAGGAGGGACACACCACAGTGCAGCTGCCCCAGGCAAGGGATTGACCCCCACACCGTCGCAGCTGGGGCTGGGACCGGCCTCTGTGTCTGGCACAGCACCACTCAGCACCACTCAGGACAGCATGCTGACACCTTGCTGCAGCCAGCCTGAGTGTCTGCTGGTGTGCAGTGTCCAGGCAAAAGAGCCGGGAGCTTGCTCCGAGTGGGGAGATGGAAACTGGTTTCTTTTATATATTTTAGAATTACATTTTTATTTATTTGGGGGTGAGGCACACATGTCACGGTGCATTATGTGGAGGCCAGAGGACAACTTGCAATGGGAGATTCTCCTTCTGTCATGTGGGTTCGAGGATGTGATCTTGGCAGCAGGCACCTTTATTCTCTAAGCCGTCTTGCACATCCCTACTAGGACTTTACAGCAGGCAAGCATGTACTTTAGAAAACAGCCCTGGGAAAGCTTGTTGGAGCAGTGCTGTGGAGTCTCCCTTGGCCTCCAGTCTGTTCTGCCCCTTAGCAGCAGGACAGAGGGGGCTCTGGCGCTGAACCCAGTGCCTTTGCCAGATAGGTCTGGTTTTCTCTTACATTTTTCTTTCCTGGCAGGCTTCCTCGTCACACAAGACTACAGACAGACGTACTTCCAAAAAGTTCAAGTATGACAAAGGTCACCTTGTAAAGGCAGAACTACAGAAAGCTGACCATAAAAGTGACGTTTCTTCTTTGCCAAAAGTGGCCCCCGAGGCCTCTTGTGACAATGAGTTTGCAGAGGCCAGCGCTAAGACGGCTGTCCCTGCACCGGAGAGTAGAGAGCCTCCCCAGGGCTGCTGCCAGCCTGTGAGTGAGGAACCCTCAGCAAAGACTGAAGGTGGCCTGCCCACACCAGAACCCGGCAGGGTGGCTGCAGCCCAGGAACCTGATGGCAGTTCTGCCAGACAGGCCGAGCCAGTGCCCAGGACAGAGGAGGTGCAGGCACCTGTGCTCCAGATGGACAGCAGCGTCTTTCTAGATGATGACAGCAACCAGCCCATGCCTGTGAGTCGCTTCTTCGGGAATGTTGAGCTTATGCAGGTAAGTGCTGCCTCCTGTCTCTCCTGCAGTGAGGGCAGCAAACTGCAGCTGCCATCATGGGCTCCCAGGTTCCTGTGTATCCATAGGCCACAACTCAGAGGTAAACATAACTGAGAAAAAGAAAATGAGGTCTGTGTAAGTGGGAGGCTTCTCCCCTGCAGCGCCCCACTCTCGGGCTTACAGGCTGGAAGGCAGGGCTCCTGGCTCCAGCCCCCTGGGTGTATCTTGGACAGTGAACAGGTTAGGAAGTCAGAGCTGTGGTTTTGTGAGCATGCAGCCATGTTTCTGTTGCTGCCCCTAGACTGTAGGATAGCATCCTTCTTACCAAGGGCCTAGAGCAGACCGTGGTCAGGTTTGGATCTGGTGCCCAGGCAGTGCCACTCAAGACTGAAGTCATGTTTTCTTCCCTCTAAGGATCTGCCACCAGCCTCTTCATCTTGTCCTTCCATGAGCAGACGAGAGTTCAGAAAAATGCATTTCAGAGCCAAAGAGGACGAGGATGAGGACGACGCCGAGATGTAGTGTGGGTCTTCCCCTGTCGTGTTCAGCAGACGGCGCAGCGAGTCTGAGAATCTATGGATGGCGTCTCCAAGAGAACACACTGTCAGTTGAACACAGAATTGACACAAGGTCACCAGCGCCAACACCCGCCCCTACGGGAGGGTTCCTCTTGCGGGTATCCAATCCTGCATGCACGTGGTACACTAATGTGAACTCGGGCACACACACACACATACAAATGTCAAACTTCAGAGAGCCCAGTCCTGGCAGCCAGCGGTGACTTTACATGTCCCGGGTACTTGAAAAGGACAGCCCTCAGAAACATGGAAGACCACACATTGTGAACAGTGTGCATCCATGACTGTAAGACAGGCAGCGGGTCCTCAGAAAGCTCCACCGCGCTGTCCTGAGGCACTGCTGCGCACGGCTGTGAAGAGGACAATGGTTCCGTCACCGGCTGCTGTTATTGTGCCCTTGGCCCCACCTTTCTCGATACATGCACACTTTTTAGACACGTCTATTTTGGAAAAATCTTTATTTTATGTATGGCAAATGTAAAAAATTTTAAACATTTTAAAACATATAAAATATACTTGCTTTTAAAAAGAAAACTCAGGCTGGGCTTCTAGAGTGACAAAATGTAAGGGTAATAGCCCCATCACCACTGCATCACCTCAGAGGGCCTGGCGTGTGTCACCGGCGGGCGCTTGCGAGCAGGCCGCTTCTTCTTGGATCCTGCCTGGGGCCGGTAGATCTTACTAGGGTCACACTGCAGCTTGTGCGTAGTCTTCTTGTGGCAGGCGATGTGCACCAGCTTCAGGTTCTTGGCCGTGAAGAGCAGGCTGTAGAAGTACTCCCAGTTCACCTCCCTCCCATCCTGGACTGCTTTCGCCAGCGTGGGCACCACGGTGCGCTTCTTCTCTATTCTGCCAAGTCAGGGAAGACAGCCCATCTGCTGTCAGTGCCACGCACCGCAGGGTGCTGTGCCCTTCCCAGCAGCCACAGACACTCATAGCACACATCCCTGCTGTGCTGCTTAGATTTCGGTCAACTTGACACAAGCTGGAGTCATTTTCACTGTGTATCCCTTTCAGGTAAGGGGGACGAACCAGTCTTCACTGAAAAGGCAGAATGCTGACTGGCAGCAGCTCCCATGAGCAGGCACCAGGGATCAATGCGATCAGCCTCCACCAGGGAGAGAAGGGACCTAGATGCCTGTGATCCCACACCCAGTGTGAGACAGTCACCCTGCACTCGCTCAGTGGTAGACGTTCTAGGAGGGAGTTCACCCCCAGGCCCTCCTTAAGAAGCATGAGGGTCACTCATTCACCAGCCCTTAGCAGGAGCAGGGAAGCGGACGGCCTAAGTGGGTATTGAGATGAAAACAAGCATCCGTGCAGGCTTACAGCCAGGCAGGACAGCACTCAAAACACAGCCCCGCAAGAGTAACAGGCGGGTCCAGGCTACACAGTGAGACCAGGACAACAGGTACAGCAAACAGAAAACGAGACGAACCCAGTCACACTTATTCATGCTGAGCAGCCACTAGGAGGAGGGACCCGTGCAGGACAAAAGGCAATTAATGTGCCAACTAGATACCTCCTCTTTGATGGCAACAGAAACCGAGTCGGGGGAGTGTGAGGCAAAGAGCAGAGTCGCAACCTTCAGGTATCAGAGCAGAATGAGGGAACAGCCCTAGGACTCCGAGACCTGCCAAAGGCTCACACGTCAGAACAATCACACTGACCCCAAAACACTAAGGTCGGGTGCAGCCGGAGACACGCAGACTTCAGCATTTGTTAAAAGAGAGAAACTAGAAAACAAGGAGAAACCCTAAGAGGAGTGCAAAGTAGGAATAAAAATAAAAAGCAAAACACCCTGCAGTTAAACATAGGGCAAACGCAGCTGCAGGCAATGGGGAGCAAACAAGAGGCCCCTGCACCTGCAGGAGGAATGGCAGGATCTGTGCAGGCTCTGGGCCTGCAGTCAGGATCCTGACAACAGTGCCTCAGACCCTAAGAAAGGGGCCCAGTCTCCAAGGGCTCGCCAAGGCCACCCCATCAGGTTGTTATAAAAGACATCAGAAATGTGGCAAAACTATAGCAACAATGTCTCTCACAGACAGCCAGGAAAGAATCAGTGCCCGGGACAAAAAGTAAACAATGAGCAAAAGGAAGCAACATGAAAGAAAGCCATGAATGGCAAAGAGGCCTCAGCCTTCCCAGGAGCCAGGAAACACAGAAGCTGCAGAGTGGGTGCTCTCCTCAGTCAGGGAAAAGCAAAGAGGCACAGTGACACTGGTGGCGAGGACATGGAGCAACTTGCAAGCACGTGAGCTGGAACATTCAGAGAAGGCTGGAGATACTCGAAGGGGAACACCAGTATCCATTTCCCAAGGAGCCTGGAGGTCAGAGCCAGGGCACTCTTTCTCATGGAGAGTCCACACCAGACCCCCGGACGCCCTCTTGATGCTGGGTGGGGTCCAAATCTGCATTGCAGCCGGTCCACAGATCAGACGGACAGGGATGGAACTGGGAGACAGTTTCATCCCAGGGTTAGGTAACGGCCTAAATGCCCAGGAGGGAACAAATGTGGGCTAGTCTGCAAACGGTGAAGGAGTCTGCTGTGCACTGAGTTGTGTGGACAGCGCGGCACAGGCACGGAAGTCCACACTTGCTGGCACAGGTGTACAACAGGCACTAACGGGGCACGTTTCAGGAGAGTGGTTTTCCGTGGAAACGGCAGGGGCACTGAGTACTGAGATAACGGGGCCCTCAAATAAAACTCACTCTTTATATATGTTTCATAGTTTTGACTCCAAGAGTCAGGTAGCCATTTGTGGACACTTGGAGCACTTTGCCTTCACAAAGCAAGGTCAAGGGTAGTTACAATCAAGAGCTGTAAGAATATGTCCTACCCTGCCCTGGTTAGGAGTGGCTTCAGCTTGCCCAGCTGCAATACCATCCTACTGGCCCTGACCTCCCACAACACAGCCCAAAAGCAGACTCCTGGTTCAAACACAGAGAACCCAATCTCTTAGAATCCACCATTGGGCCACGAGGAGCCAGGCCACCAGATCCACCCACAGATGGGGGTGGGAGGGGGCGGGACAGTTTAGCACTGGGCACTGACAGCTGGAAGGTCAGGAGCATCGCTCCAGATGCTCCTTCCATAAGCGCTTGGGGTTTGTCCCTGGGCCTGAAGCACACAGGTGTAATGGACCAGACCTGAGCTGCCTGAGCAGATGCTGGGTTAGTTCTGGTTAGTGAACTGGAATCTCAGTGACAGACACTCACATATGATCCAGGTTCCAGGTGCTGAAGAGGATCCGGCTCTCCCTGTTGCCATAGGGGTTGATGGAGTGTTTGGAAAGACAGCTCTCCAGGTCAAAGGGGCCCTGCAGGGACCAAGGCAGGGGTTGGAAAGGCAGAGGGAGGTACGTTACTGTCCTCCAAGCCAACAAGCTTGCGAAGGAGCAGGCCCCACAAGGCGTTGAATCCACGAACCAACATTTGAACCAGGCAGTGATCCCCAGCACTAAGAGGCAGAGATTAAGGCCAGGGGTATGGCTCAGCAGGAAGAACACTTTCCACGCAAGCCTGAGAACCACGTTTGGATCCTGAAGTCACTTAAAAGCCAGGTGTGGTCTGTCCTCTGACCACACCCATGCCGTGGCATGTGCACACTCCCACACAAACACTACACACATATACATAAAAGGAAATAAATATTAAGTCAGCCTTAGCTACATAGTGACCTTAAGTCTAGCCTCAACTACATATTAAGACCTCATTTTAAAAAAACAAAAGTGTTTGCTGTTCATTGGAGATTGAAAATTCTCTCTTTGTCGGGTGGAGAGACGATTCAGAGGTTCCTGCCTGTTCTTCTAGAGGACCAAGGTTTGATTCCAGCACCCATATGTGGCTCACACCCATCTGTAACCTCAGTTCCAGGGGATTTGACAACCTCTTCTGGTCTCCACAGGCACCAAGCACACATGGGCACAGACATATACACAGGCAAAACACTCATATTCAAAAAACTAAGCCTAATATTAAAAAATGCTGTCTTTGGAATTCTACCTGCCCCTAACATTCCATTGCCCCAATCTTAATATTCTGAGTTTTCAAAAGATGAAGGCATTTCTGTCTCTGATACTAGAGAATCATCCTTCGCTAGGTGCCTCTACAGATCCACACAGGAGCAGACCTGTTATTCCCAACATGTTCCTTCATGACTACGGTGCCATATACTAACAATTGTACACCCCAACAATTGCACGCCACCATCCCTGCCTCCTCCCACACTTTGAACTTGAGGGCTACCAGCACCTACTCTTAGGCCAGCTGCTGAATGTCCTACCCACCTCTCACCCCCAGGAGGCAGTGACCCCAGAATGAAGGGCACAGAGCTCACCTGGCAGGAGAACCAGCCTTCTGGAGTACAGAGCCGCTCACTGGCCTCTGCACCTCGGTCAAAGTAGCTGCCATTGTACTTCTGGGATTTGAGCTTCTGGCACATGGAGCTGAGGACCCGCTCGAATTCTTCTCGCGCCGCTGCATCCACCGCAGAGGTGTGAGCACTCACCTGTGAGAGTGAGCCAGAGGCATTGCTGAGCCCGTGGCCTGCCTGTGGCCTGCCCGTGCCCAAAAGCCTGCCTTCAATCACCAACCTACGCCACGCATCAGCTGTCAGCAGCCAGCCTACGCCTAGTTCTACAGTCAGAGTGTCTGACCACTGCTCAGCTATCATATCATGGCCATTCGGGGGGCCGTGAAGTGGAATCAACAATGCTCCCATCAGGCTGGGAGAATGAAACAAGGCAGAGAGGTTCACATCTGTAATCCTAGCACTTGGGAGGCTGAGGCGGGAGGATCCAAAGGCCAGCCTGCTCTACAGAGCAAGATCTCATGGTGAGGGTGGGGAGGGGGGGAGGGAGTGAATTAAGATCCCATGGTCAGCAGGAGGAGCATTCCCTCTGTGATAAGGCGAGCAGCACCAACAAGGGGGCCCCCGTCCATGCAGCCAGAGGGTCAGTACTAGGATCAGTCAGGGCACCAGCGATGTAGGTCATGTGGGGACAATCACCAAGGAAGGCCACATGAAGTACAAAACACTGGACACCACACATCGGCAGCTGTGACACACTGAGCGGGTTGAGGTAGATATGGGGAGTATGGGGACAGCGCACAGCCATGTAAGGGCTCCTGCAGCACTTTCTACCTGCCAATCAATGTGGAGCCTGACATGCAAATGAGCAGCAAAGGCCAAGCTGACCCCACTGCGTGAGAGAGAGGGGAAAGGGAAAGGTTTAAAAACAAAGAAAGTGCAGAGTGAAGGGGAACCCATGCCTGCCCTTCCAGCTGCCTGGCCATGCAGGGTGAAGGGGGACCCACGCCTAGCTTTGTTTCTGCAAACTCGAGCTGTGAATTCTATCAGCCTTCCCGTCTGCCTGGGGTTGTTACTGCCACCTAGAAGAAACCTGGGCAGAGCAGTCAGGCATGGAGCACCACTGTGCCCACTGCCCACCACACTGCCCTTGCGGATCTCACTCCCGTGTGGAGGGCGGCTAACAGGTAGGTGAGTACAGGCAGTGCCGCAGCAGCCTGAGAAGGAAGTCCTAGGAGCATGCCCAGTGGAGATTCTGAGCCCAGCGGGGCCGGGGCAGGCAGGCAGTATCCATGGCGACAAGAGAACAGTCAGGGCAGTCAGGTTCCAGGCCTGGTCAGGAAGGGAGGGTGGCTTCAACCAGCAAGGGGCTCTGTCAGGTTTTCCCCATAGACAGCCAGCTCGAGCTACGCCATGAGATAAGAAGATTTCGGAGGAGGGTGTGCACGGAGGAAGAAGGCAGCCTTAGGATCTACTTTTAACCAAGAAGCTCAGGGGTAGGAACCCAAGCAGATGCTGGGTTAGTTCTGGTTAGTGAACTGGAATCTTGGTGACAGACACTGACAGATCCATGTTCTGGGTGCTGAAGAGGATGCTGTAAAGACAGACAGATGGAGAAGCCCCAGGTCTGTGCCACTAGCCAACTGCTGGGCGGTTACCCAAGTTACCCCAAGGAGAGCAGGGAGAAGAAGGTCCCCAAAACAAGTTGCTGTCCCCAAACCACCCATCCACTGCTCATCCTTTCTGAGTGAAGGCAGTCACGTGGAGCCCAGTGCAGAGAGGCACAGAAGGCTCACCTGGCGAAATGAGGGGCACCTCATGCTCTCGGTATGGGCAGGTCCCATCCACCACAGAGGGTCTTCCTTCCACTCTGCACCTCACTGGCATTCGTGTCTTCATGAAAGGAAGCCAGGGTATCAGGACACCAAGGACAGCCTCCTCCTGGAGTTCAGGCTAGGTGCAGTGGAGCCGCTGGCAGCCCCTCCCAGAGAAGACCAGAGCTGAGACCCAATAGTCAGTTGCTCACAGCCTATCTACAAAGCACCCCAAGCAAAAGTGTCTTTGGTCCTGTGTTCCACTTTTCCAAGGTCAGAGGACTGCCAAGCGTCCAGAGAATAAATAAATACAAGTGTTGGGGGGAAACAACCACCCGATCGTGAGGGTATCATCAGAGCAATGGAGGAGATGCAGAAAAACCTCTCCATAACGGAATGAAGCTCATCAGAACAGACCTGCCTGCTGCATAAGACGCCAGCTGGTGCTGTTCTACGTAACAGCATCCTTGGCAAAGAGCTGAGGCTGAGGCCTCTGACCCTATCTAAAGGACATGGCCCAGAAAGGTTCTAATACCTGCTAGATGACGGGGTCAGAGGCTAAAGTACAGAAGAGCTCAGATGCAGGAGACAGGAAGCTCTTGCTCCTCTGAGGTACACAAGCCTCACAGGCAACCTTGCAGACGTGCATCAGCAGTGGAGTGGCAACCCCACCAACTGCACCATCCTCCCTCAGCGTGATCTGAGCATGGCCTTACCTCTCTCAGGTAGCCCCGGATCCTGCTCTCACAGCTATATCTCAGGTAGCCAGACTTATTCCTGAATCGAGACTCCAAACCTACAAGAAAGATGACTCTGGGATCTACAGGCAGACCACGACCTCTTGGTTTGTGTCCTAAGTGGCTCAGGAGCCAAGCAGACAAGAAAGGAGCAGAGGGAGGTGTATCAGGGACTGCATCAGCCGCAGAGATGCCTGACGGCAGGGTGCGTGTTCTCTAGTTGGGGGATCTGGTTTTGAGGCACCTCAAACACTGCTAAGAGGTTTCTTCTTGGCTGGCCCTCAAACCCTCAAGAAATTTCAACTACTCAAGGACACCTCAATCTGGACTTAACAACCCAAGTAGTCAGCAGCAGAGGAGAGGGCCAAAAGTGTGCTCCATCCGTACGATTGGACACTATTAAAAGGGAAGGACGCTGGTCACCCAGGCGAACATAAAGGGCAGCATGCTGACGAGAGGAGCTGTGGGACAAACCCCGTATGATTCCACCCACACAAGATACCACGTGAAGGAGGAGCTGGGGAGGGGTTCTGTTCATAGAGCTCGAAACGAGCATGAGAGGGCTTGGGCTGCAGACCCACAGAGCATGGGCTCTGACAGCAAACGCCAGTGCCGACTGCAGGACAGGGTGAAGGGGCTTGGATATGTGGAGTGCCACTAACTCTGCAGCCCAGCCTACTCTACAGTAGATTCACCCAACCACAGACATTAACCCTTTAAAAATCTCACATCCGGGCAGGTGCACACCTTTAATCCCAGCACTCGGGAGGCAGAGGCAGATGGAACTCTGCGTTCGAGGCCAGCCTGGTCTACAAGTGAGTTCCAGGACAGTCAGGGCTACACAGAGAAACCCTGTCTCAACAAACCAAAACTAATAAACAAATCATTTTAAAAATTTATATCTGAATAAGCATGTAGATTGTTTCCTGTTTTCTAGAATTTTAATTCTGTGCATGTGTGCATGTGGTGTACATGAATGTGCACATGTGTGTGTACATCTGTGCAGGTGCACTCACCCATGCACACACGTTAAGAGCAGAGGTCACCACTGAGTGTCTTCCTCTGTCACTCTCCACCCTCACTAAACATGGAGCTCACTGTTTGGGATATATTGGCTGACCAGTGAACCCCAAGGATCTGCCTGACTCTGCCTGACATATGCCACCACACCTGGATTTTACATGGATGCTGGGGATCTGAACTCAAGTCCCCAAGCTCAAGCAGCAAGCAATGCCCACTGATCCATCTCCCAGAACCCTATAGACTGGTTTTTCTTGTCATTATTCCTTAAAGGGACCAGATGACAACTACTTTCCCAGCATTTGCATGGAACCAGGTACCTTAAGTGACCTAGGGAGGATATGAATCATATAGGAGAGATTTCTGAAGTGTGCTGGCCAGTCAGCCCAGCCTAGCTCTAGCCAATGAGACCCTATCTCAAGGGAGATGAATAGTATTCCTGAGGATGACACCCAGGGTGGTCTTCTGACACACAGACACGCACACACGCTCGCGCTCTCTCTCTCTCTCTCTCTCTCTCTCTCTCTCTCTCTCTCTCAAATGGTAAGATGATAAACTCCACATTCCATGCATTTTGCCATGGCTTTTGGAAGAATGATTTAAAAGGAAGGAAGGAAGGAAGGAAGGAAGGAAGGAAGGAAGGAAAAAAGAAAAAAAGAAAGAAAGCTATTTCAAGGCTGCCCAGGACACTGCCCCCACCCAGGAGTCCTGGCCAGATGCCTTTTCATGGACACCTTTTGCTATCACTCACTCCAGAGGCCAGTCACCCTTGGTTGGGAAGCATCAGGATCTGAAGTGGACAAAGATCCTCCCGAGCCTCTGCTCCAAAGAGGCCCTTCCCTGCCTGTCCCAGACATCCTGGCCACATGGTCACCCCAGTCCACGTACCTTCAAACCAGGACGGGTCCTGCTCCCGGGTCTCAGCAGTGATGTTCTGGTTGACATGATGCAGAAGGTCAGCCAGCAGCTTCTGCCTCAGTGGGTTCCGCTCATGTGATAGCAGTTGCTGCGCAGCCCGGATGACACCAGCATGTTGCTCATTAAACACACTGAGGAAGCGGGTGATGTCACTCACATCTGCCGCCACCACAAGACAAACAGAAACACATTCATGTTGCTCTGGTCCCAAGAGGAGGCTCCTGTCCACTAAGCCCAGAGACAGCCAGAAGTGAAGACTCAAGACTCTGGTGTCACCAACCCTTGCCTTGGCACTTGACACTCGAATCCTCCACAGGGTGACGCTGCCAATTCCATTCCTCTGGCCACATCCTGCCAGGTGATGGGATTGCAGTGCCCTAGAATAGTGCACTTGCTCTTCTTCTGCTTTCTCTTCCTCCACACTTGGTCACCTCCTTTGCTCATTCCCTTAGGACCCAACTTCCAGGCCTCACAGTCCCTCTCCCGACTTTCCCAGGGACCCTTTCCACAAGAAGCAAGCTACAACGGGCTTTCCTAGCAGGTGCTGAATGCCAAGTGTATTCTCCTGAGGATCTTAACTAAACAGGAGCGAACAGAATCCAGCGACAACTAAAAAGCACAGACCACAGCCAAGTGAGGCTCCAACTCTGCTTCATACTCAAAACTCAGTGAGATCCACTGTGTCAACAAGCTGAAGAAATAAGGTCTTGTGGGCAGAGCAACAGATGTAGAAAATGCAGGGGGAAACCTCAGGAAGACAGGACTCACCAAGAGATTCCTGGACAGTGAAAATGCACAGTGAACATGAAGAAACATCAAAAATAAGTAAATTAGTAATATTAATAAAGGAAAGAAAAGAAAACGCACAGCGAAGAAAATGACAATCTGGATGTCATCAAAGTCAAAAATTTTTAAGCTGGGTGTGGGACACATGCCTGGAATGCCAGAAGTTGGTAGTTGGAGGCAGGAGAAACAAAAGCTTTAGGCCAGCCTTAGCTACAGAGTGAATTTAAGGCCAGCCTCAGCTACATGTAACCTTGGCCTCCATTTCCCTCCCAAATCTGAACCATTTGCTCTATTACAGAGCATGAAAAGAGCAAGGCCGGTTAGCTCAGCTGATTGGAGCTCGGTTCCAAAACAGAGAATGAAAGGGAACCCAACAGAGGATATAAGAAAACCACATTATGTGACATGGAAGCCAGAACCAGGGTTTGCTGAGGGTGGGGTAAGTATTTCAACAGCTTAAAAAATCCGATTAAAAAACACAAAAGACATGAAGACTGCTTCACCAAGGAGTGCCTGCAGGTGGCAAATAAGAACACAGAATGATATCCAATCCCATTAGCCACCGGGGAAATTCGGATTAAGGCCACACTGAGCTGTCATCACACACCTACCTAGAAGAGCTTTAATAAAAACTACGATCCCTGAGAGCATTTCAACATTCACACGTTGGAGAACGGCCCTGAGCAAGGATGAGTGAGCCATGCCTGCCCTGCCCAGCACAGCACAGCACAGCACAGCAAAACCTTCCCCAGGCTCCTCCAATCCTCCCCCCTTGCTTTTCCAGTTACGAAAATAAACAAACAAACAAACAAATAAATAAATAATACACTGGAAATAGAGTTCTTCAGCAAAAACTCTTGGCATTCAGTGCCCCTGACCTGATCTACTAGGCTCGTGCCTGGGCTCCTGGACCTGGGCTTAAACGGCGTGGGTTCCGCCCATCTCCAAAGTTTTACTACTTACAGCCCTGCCAGGTCTGGCCAGCAGTGAGCAGCAGGAGTTCGGCGTCATTGGGGAGCCTCGGGAAATAGTCATCAGTCACCTCCGTGCCATCTTCGTACAAGCACAGCCGGGAACCGGACACCGGGAGCTGGAGAACAGGAAGAGTAGGCTCGTCCTGCCCACAGGCAGTCCGCTCAGGGTGCCACCTGTCTGCAGGAGCCCAGCGCCCGTCCAAGTCCATCTAAGGGGACGGAAACCGTGCGCACGTAGTAGCCGGGGTCCCCGCCCCGCCACCCCGACCCACCTGGAAGCGGACGCAACCCTTGTGCAGCAGCTCCTGGCAGCTCCGGGCCGCCATGCCGAACTTGCACTCGCTGTGTAGGGCTCGCAACTTGACGCTCTTGGGTTGGCGGAGCACCGCGCACATGGCAGGACTCCGGCAGCAGACACTGCACGTACCGGACGACGACGACTGACCCTCGCTCCTCGCCACTCCCGGAACTGTGGCGCGTAGGCGCCGCCCGGAACGCTTTTCTCTACTCCTTGGCAGGCGCGACCCGAAACGTCCGTCTGCAGGACCTTTCCCCAGCCGGAACCGGCGAGGCGTAGCTGCGCGCGCAGGCGCCTACGGACGGCTGCGCAGGCGTACAGCGCGGGCCGGCCTGGTTGCCATGGGAGCGTGGCTGCGGCCCGGGCGCTGGGCAGAGGAAGCCCGGGCTGCTCCTCCGCTGCCCTCGCCTCAGTGGCCCGGGGTGGGGGCGGCCGGACCGAGGCGAGGCCCCTCCGAAGCGAGCGGAGGCCGACATCGCGGCAGCGTCCCTCCTGCTCGTCTCCGCGGCGCCCTGTGACCCCGCGCAGCCTCGGTCCTCAGCGGCACCGAGGCGGAAGACATCCGGCCGTGGAGGGACGTGGCCGCTGCCTGCTCGAGGCCTCTAGGTAGCGCATCTCGGCCTTCGTGTCGGGAATCCGGTTCCAGCCCCTCCTTGTCCTCTTCTGGATGCGTTACTGAGCAGAACCAGTTACCAAGAGGCTGAAGACTGTAGCTCTGGCCCCTGGTAAGCCAGACACTTTGATGAGTGTTGTTTGCGGGGTATGTTTCGTAGTTGGGTTTGGTTTGAGATGTTTTTTAAGCTTAAAGATTCTCTAAAAACACTTTCAATCCTTAAGATTAATCGGACCCAAACCAACACTTAATATTGTAACAGTTGCGTTTCTTGAAAAGAAAACTAGAAACATTTTTTTTTATTTCTTTGTAACAAAATGTTTGAAGTTGCTACATTGTTTTTGGACTTGGGGCTAGAGAGATGGCTTTAAAGGGAAGGGTCGCAACCAAAAATATAAGAGTTTGTGCCTAGTTACAGTTTATAAGCAATGTTAGGGTAAATGTCACCTGACACTGTTGGCTATGGCTGCCCTAGGGACAGCTGGGACACCACCTACGTCTGGTGACCAGAAGTTTCCGCGGTGTGTTTTGTGGAGCCACGAGCATGTGCCAAGGCTCCTGATGATTGGCGCAAAGGGGAGGAGTAGGGAGTAGAAGTCTCCTGCAGTGTCAGGACTGAAAGTGGATTGTTTTGTATTGAGTTCCGGGTGTTTCGCACACTGCCCCACAGCCCTCTTGCCAGGGTCTTCAGTACCAGTTATTTGTTCTGGTTTTATTGGGGACACACTTGTATCTGCCTTTAACGTTCTGTTTGTAAGTCTCGGTGCACACCAGAAGGTGCTAGTTAAGACCAGAGATGCAGACCCAACTGAGTAAAACTGTTGTCAAGGTAGAAATCTGGCCTGCTTCTCTCTCTCTCTCTCTCTCTCTCTCTCTCTCTCTCTCTCTGTGTGTGTGTGTGTGTCTCTCTCTCTGTGTCTCTCTCTCTGTGTCTCTCTCTCTCTGTCTCTCTCTCTCTCTCTCTCTCTCTCTGTGTGTCTGTCTGTCTGTCTAAAACTGTCTCACTATGTAACCCTGTTACTCCTACATAGACCATACTGACCTCAAACTCAGAGATCCTCCTTCCAAGTGCCCGGATTAAAAGTGTGTGCAACCACAACCGGCATAGGCCAGGCCCTTGAAGATGGTCAAATAATTGAAGAAGTCAGAGCCAGGGGTATACCTCTAAGTGTTTGGATCCTTCTAAAATTCACAACACGCTGAGGCATAGTGGCACATGTCTTTAATCCCAGTACTTTGCGTGCCAAGGCAAGAGGATCTCTGTGAGTTTGAGGCCATTGCAGTCTACATACTGAGTTCTAGGCTAGTTGAAGCTAAATATTGAGACTCTGTCTCAAAAATAACAAATTTCAAGATAAGAGGTAAGAATGGGGGAAACGAGGTATCAGAACAGAAGCAGCATTTTAATTCCTAGATGGAGGCCACAGAGGGCTTTGGGATTAAGACCTGAATAGAGGTAACTGAAATTGGGTGTAAAGAATGTTGTCTGGTAGGAACATGCGTGGAACAGAAGAGCCAAGGCAGTGGAAGTGACTGAATGCAGTAAGACTTTACATGCTTCTGTGAGTGTTGAAGGGGAGTGTAGTGCCTGAGAGGAGCTCCAGGCTCGGGGACCTGAGTGACCTAGGAGTGTGGTCTCCCAGTCAGAGGAGACGCATGTTATGGGAGTGTAGTCTCACAGTCAGAGGAGACACATGTTATGAGAGTGTAGTCTCCCAGTCAGAGGAGACGCATGTTAAGTCACCCAGCTGTGCGTATGAACCACTCTTGATTGTGTTCTGGGTCAGTTTCCTCCGCTCTGACACAGGGAACTCAGTGGAGCACCTTTAATGGTGACTTGCTGTGCTGGCTTTAGTAGTTTAGTGCATACATTCCAAAAGCAAAACACACCAGCAAGCATCAGAGTGGCACTGATCCTTGAAATGGTCCTTTTCAAATCCCATGAAAGTAAGCAAAAGCTCTGAATTATCCATCAGGCATATTCACGTGAGCCAGGCTTCCTGCGACGTACTTTGGATAGCACTGCCTACAGAGTATTTCAGTGATGCATCTTATTCCAAGAAACCTCTAATGCTCTTCTTTTTCCTGTATTAGGAGGATTGTTGTTTTTTCTGATGATGATTTATTTCACCAACAGTTGTCTACTTAGCAAGTATTTGATTGGTTTGATAACTGAGAAGTAGCCATGCCCCTGTGTTGCTCTCTGACGTTGCTGCTCCAGCCCAAGGTTAGCTTCACTTGGGCAGGGCCTCCTCTCTTGGTGGCCTCAGTAGCCCTGGACTCTTTTTTTTTTTTTTTTTTTGGTTTTTCGAGACAGGATTTCTCTGTGGCTTTGGAGCGTGTCCTGGAACTAGCTCTGTAGACCAGGCTGGTCTTGAACTCACAGAGATCCGCCTGCCTCTGCCTCCCGAGTGCTGGGATTAAAGGTGTGCGCCACCATCACCCAGCTTGGACTCTTGTGTTAGGAGTCTCTCTGGGGAGAGAGCTCCTCTGCTATGGCCTCAGTGTAATCCTGGGATTGAGCGTCACCTGTTCCCTCTGGGCAACACATATGTGTGTTCCCATCCATGAACCCTCACTGTGCATGGATATGGAATTCTCGGACTGCCCGAGCCTGGGAAAGTGTAACAGGTCCCGACCAGGGCTGGAGGGGAGTGCAGAGACACCAGCTCATCGCTGACTCTGTGCTGTGTTCCAGCATGGAGAGCATGTGTGCCAAGCAGCAAAGCAGACATGACAACACACGTCCTCCAAGTGACAGTGGTGAGCTAGGACACAGGTCAGCACGCACCCTCCAAGTGACGGTGGTGAGGTAGGGCACAGGTCAGCAAGCACCCTCCAAGTGATGGTGGTGAGGTAGGGCACAGGTCAGCAAAGCAGACATGACAGCACGTGTCCTCCAAGTGACAGTGGTGAGCACAGGTCAGTTCACCAAAAAAATCATACTGAAAGAATCATTCAGCCAGTTTTTCCTCTTCAAGCTCCCTCAAGTTTGACCATGTCTCCCCTCGACTTGGCTTCCAGCAGACTTTCTGTTAGTATAAGCAGTGACACTCCTTCTTCACTAGGACTGGGAGAGCTGCCCTGCTTCTGGCCTAGCTTGATTGTCTAGGTTCAGGGAGAAACTGACAACTGCTTGTGCCCATCTGGAGGGCGAGGGCAGGTGGCCCAGCAATGTGTCCTACAAGACATCGCTGGGTGGTTTTCCACATCCTCTGAGGATCTAGGAGCCAACAGATGGTCCTGGTCCATCTTGTTCACAGATAACACTTTTAAATGTTCTGAGTCAGGTTCCCAACTCAACTGTGCTCACATCTGCACCAGTGCATCTGTGTGTCCTGCATTCCACAGGGCTGCACGTTTACACTAACAATTAGGTGTCCTCCCTAATCCTTGCTAGTTGTTTGTTTCCTTGATAATACCAAAAGACTTCGTACCCTACCAAAAGCTTTGGTTTTACCATGAGAGTGTGACAAGCGGGGTGGCTTAGGAATTTCAGAGCTGGCATTGAGGTGGCAGCGGGGACAAGCATCTCTGAAGCCTGAAGCCTTTTCTCGCTCCTGATGGTTTCCAGTACCAGCATTAGCATTAACTGAGTGGCTCCAGTCTCTCAGTATGTGGCACTCCCACCCCCTAGTGTGTCTGAGCCTCCACTTCTTGCATGTGTTTCTTGTGTTTTTTAGGGATTGTTTTGTGGGGGATGGGTTCTGGAGATGAAGTCCACATCTAGCCTTCTGTATGCTAGGTGGGCATTGTCCCTTAGTGGTACTCACCCCAGATCCTTTTCCTCTTCTCCAAGTGCACCAGCCACATGAATTCCCCAATAGGGTATCATTTTAACTTGATCACATCTGCAGAAACCCCAGTGAGGTAACTTTCACACACAACAAAGGCAGACTCTGATCATTAGTGAGAATGTAACTCAGCCGCAGCACAGGTCAGACTCTCAGGAAAATCAAGATAGCTTAAATGGTGTGTTAAGTAGAATTAGAGCATCCATTTTAAAATGTTTTGTAGACAAACTAACCTTTTTGGAGTGATGGGCCAGTCTGAGTACTCTGTGGCTTACCTTGTATGACGTGAGCTAACACCTCATCTAACCTAGTTGAATCTCTTCTCAGAACTCTTCCCTGATCTTCTGAACAGCCCATGTGTGCAGAATGCCCCACAAGATTGGATTTGTAGTGGTCAGCTCTTCTGGACATGAAGATGGCTTCAGTGCTCGGGAACTAATGATCCACGCACCAACTGTCAGTGGCTGGAGGTCACCAAAGTAAGGCTGGCCTGAGGGGCAGGGCTGAAAGCACATCTCTGGGTCTGAATACCTGGTAGAGTGGGTGACTCTCGATCTAAAAACACGGAATGCATTTCTAGTCGGGTACATGGTGTATTTCAGTGAAAACTAAATTAAAATCACTAAAATTAAAGTGCATTTTCCTCTTGGAATGTCTGAGGGGACCCAGTAAGCAGGACCCCCCCCCCCATGCCTGACCTCCCAGGAACTGGAAAAGTCAAACAGGTAGAGTAGGGAGGCGCTTGCTGGAGCTGTAGGTGTCAGGTAAGCAGGACCCCTCCTCCGTGCCTGAGCTGTGGGAGACTGGAAGAGTCAAGCAGAGAAGATAGAGCAGAACCTGCTGGAGCTGACAGTGTCGATCTTCCTGGTCCACTCCCTCCCAGGCATGCTGTCCCCACTGAGGAGTGCAGGTTCATGCTCCTAGCCACACCCTCTTTTCTTCCGAGCTCCCCATTTCTGTTCTGCTTCCCTCCAGTTGCTAAGGGCAAAGCTTCCACTCTCTGCCTTCTGCATTTCCCTCTGCAAAGATCTTAGCTGTGTCTGCCCTGCAAGTCGAGTCCATGAAGCTCATAGGTTCTTAAGTAAACACACAGAGCTACTTTGTAACAGTGATTATGCAAGTCACCCCAGCATGGTACTTTTGTGGTTTTCCTTTAAACTCTTAATTGTATCCATGTTAGTACCATGCTTCCAGATGATACCAAAGGAAAGGGTTGTGTACCGCAACCACGGACAGAGTCACACAAGGTTCGGCCCAGGCGTCTCCTGATTTACCTGAGGTCAAATGTGTTGCAGGAGTCAAGAGAAAGTATCCCCAAGTGTCACCAAGATGGACAAAGGGTCCTGTCAGGAGTGGTTCAGAAAGCTTGCTCAGGGTTCTGGTGGAACTGGGTACAGGGTGCTACTTATGGGATGGGGGAAGTTCCTGCCATGTCTTTCTCAGAGCCTTGGGATTCAGGCTTCAAATCTCCAGAGCTGATGACTGCAGCCTGCATAGTCTCGGTTTTCAGAGTTTTTTTTCCACATTTATTAATGTGCATGTCCTTGCATGTCTCTCAATGTGTGTGGAGATTGGAGGTCTGAAGCACGATTAATAAGAACTCAGAGAGAAATTGGGCTTCAACGTAAAGATCCGAAAAGCAAAGTAGTCAGCCACTTGCTCTTACCTCAACCTCAGTCAGATATGGCGGTCCTGCCTCCAGAATCTCAGAAGGAGACTATGTCTGAGAGCTGTCTCCTCCCATTTTATAATCCTCTCTAGGGCTGGGATTAAAGGCGTGCACCACTGAGATTAAAGGCATGCACTGCCTGGTTTCTATGGCAACTATTGTGACTACTAGGATTAAAGATGTGTGTCACCACTACCTGGTCTGTGAGGCTGACCAGTGTGGCTGTTCTACTCTCTGATCTTCAGGCAGGCTTTATTTGTCAGAATACAAATGAAATGCCACTGCAGAGGTCAACTTGAAGGACTCAGTTCTTTATCATTGTATGGATCCCAGGGATTGGCAGCAGGCACCTTCACCCACTGAGCTGTTGTTATTCAAGGCAAAGCAGTCTGTCCCTGTCAATGTATTTTATAAGTGTGTGGTTCAGTGGGAGAGCACTTACCCTGAGTTGAAGAAGTCAGAACTGGGAGGTGAGCACAGGGCTGATGTGTTAGTGACACCCAGGCTCACTGTGCTCCACCTGGTCGGGGGAAATGGCTCTACTCTTGAAGAACCTCAAAGGAGCCTTACTGTGTTGATGGGTTTTCTTAGTGGGATGTGGAAGAAGGACCTGGCCAGCAATGATAACACGTGAGCACGCGTGCACACACGGGTCACCAGGCAGTAATGTTGAGATCTGTGAAGGGAGGGGCCTTCCCTGACTGCCCTGTTCTTCAGAGCTCCCTTGGTTCCACATGCCCACAGTGCCTGCTGGCTAGCGTGTGTCAGTGCTGTCCTTTGAGCGTACTGTACTGCTGAGTCACGGCTGTGCCTGGCTGTGTAGGTTCCTTGCTGACAGAAGCAGTGCTCTAGCCAAGTCTTGCTTGGTGGTCATGCAGTGTGTAGCTCTCAGCTCAGCCTGCGCCTGGAAGTCCCCTGCTGTTTGTTGACAGCCTGTGTGTTGTAAGCAGATGCTTCGCTTAAGGACTCAGGTTCCTGTGGGGAAGGAAGCCTTTGGCTCTGCCTGGCCTACTGGTACAGCCCCAGAAGAATGGCTGATTTATCTCCTGATTAACCTGAAGGCCACTGTAGCCTTTAGTCTTAGCAGCCTGAAGTTAGGTTTGCAGGTGGCCAGCAGAGCCAGTCAGCCTTAGGTCCAGGCTTTGGAAGGGAGGGGCAGCACAGTCTTCTAGTCAGGTAGATGCTACCCCACATCCAGAATGCCGCGCCTCACACTCCCCTGCCTGGAAGCAGGCCGACAGGAAACTACAGACGTTTCTCAGAAACCCAAGGCTGTGTTTGCTTTCAGATTCTGCCAGTTTCCACAAGAGATTGTTCTCCAGATGGTGGAGAGGTGTCGGATAAGGAAACTGCAGCTCCTTGCTCACCAGTACATGATCTCCAGTAAGGTTGAGTTCTACATCAGTGAAAGCTTGCCTGAGTACCTGGTGCCGTACCAAGCAGAGCGCTTCCGCAGACTGGGGTGAGAATGAGACTCGGTGCACAGGGGTGCCCTCAACCTGACAGCTTTGTGGGTTGTCCCTCTCAGCCCTTTGTGATCTTCCCAACACATGCCTGAGATTCATATGCTTAACAGGCAGGGTTACCGTATCTGTGGGGTTCAGTGGGAGTGGGAACAGCTTTGTGGACAGTTCATCAGGTGTGACTTTCCTTCCAGCTATGTCTCTCTGTGTGACAACGAAAAGACAGGCTGCAAAGCCCGGGAACTCAAGTCTGTTTACGTGGATGCTGTGGGGCAGTTTCTTAAGCTGATCTTTCACCAAAACCACACCAACAAGTACAACATATATAATCAGGTAAGGTGTGTGTGTGTGTGTGTCTTTGTCCTGACACCACAGCACACCCCACACCCTCTACCCCCTCACCACACACCTCCATGAGCAGACTGCTCAGGTGTCCTCATACCTGCACACTCCTGGGAGCAACTGTGTGAGCAGCTGTTGCTCTCTGAAGCCAGACTCTCCCATATGTTAACTCTGGCATGTAGTCATGGGGCACACAAGAGCCTCTGATTGGACCAGACTCAGATGAAAGAGAGTACAAGAATGGTTCCTGGGGTTTGCGCTTCAGTTGTATGCAGTAGCTTGACACCGCTGTGGTAAAATCGCTTCCACGGTTCCTACCTCGTATTTTCCTTAGCTGACAGCGTGTGTGATTTTGACTGGCAGCTGTTCTGGCAGAATGAAGCAGATAACCTGTCTGAACTGTCCATGGCCAGGGAAGCCGCTTGCCCGCCACTGCTCCAGCTGCTCCAGCGGCTCTGCTGCCTTTTTTTTCTCCTTCCTTCCTTCCTTCCTTCCTTCCTTCCTTCCTTCCTTCCTTCCTTCCTTAAAATTTAATCAATTATTTATTTACTTTACATCCCAACCTCAGTTTCTCATCCCTCCTCTCCTTCATTCCCTCCCTCCATCTCCCCTCCACCCCTGTCCCCCAGTCCACTCCTCTATTTCTGCTCCGGAAGGGGAAGGCCTCCCATGGGTATCAGCAAAGCGTGGCATATGGAGTTGCAGTAGGACTAAGCACCTGCCTTTGTACTAAGGCTGGGCAAGGCAACCCAGTATGAGGAATATGTTCCCAAAAGCCAGCCAAAGCGCTAGGGACAGCCTGTGTAGCCCAGCGCTAGGGACAGGCTGTGTAGCTCAGTGGTAGAGTGTGGTAGAACTCAATCCCACCCTGACAAAGGAGATCAGGTGTGCCCAGAACAATCTTGTTTGCACACACATTTGTACCCCTTGCTGCCTCTCCAAGAGCAGTAGGAGAAAGCCAACAGATCACATTGTTGTGGCAAGTGAATGAGTTATGAGATGCTCAGCTGCTAGGAACTGGTTAGGAACCTGGACCACAGTGATGGGTGGGAAGGAGAGCGACTTCCCTGCCAAGGCGAGAGGTGAAGCACCTGGGTTAGCTGGGCTGTGTCAATTTAGTTTTTTTTCCTCGTCTGGGGTAATGTGGGTAGAGACCTCTTATTGGGAGACTGCTAAAAGTCTAGGTTCGCGGTTACTGTTTTAGAAACCTGTAAGCCATAGCAACTTGGTTGAGCATGAGAAGAGCAGTGGTTGTTATCTGCTGAGCACGTCACAGTTCTCTACATCAGCGTGCCCCTTACTGTCATCGCACACCCTCCTACCTGATAACAACACGGGCAAGGCATCTCAAACACTTCATACTTGATTTCTGCTGATTTCACTATTTCTTAGGTGGCTTTGGTTGCGATAAATATCATTGGAGACCCTGCAGATTTTGGTGATGAAAGCAATATTGTAAGTATGAGAAGTTTAGTTCCTAAAGTAAAGGGAATTTCTGTGGGAGGAGGAATCACTAATTCTCATCACACACACACACACACACACACACACACACACACAAATGTATCAATTAAGAAGGCCTCAAAACTTTCCTCAAGGATTTTAGCTGCCTGTCCAGAAAACTAGGGCCACTGAGTCTTACTGGCACGTCTCTGTTAAACAGTTGTAAAATTAAGGTTTGTTTTGTCCTTTTTTTGCTGAGAGTCTAAGAAGATGTTTTGTCCCCAAAGACCTCTAGAGAGAAGCTGATTGACCATTACCTTGGCCACAGTCCCCACAATGAGGACCCAGCCCTAGAAGGAACTTTTGCCGGGTAAGACCTTTCCCCATTCCTTCACAAGACAGCTCATAACACCTTGGTCATTCCGGAGGATTTGGGGTCTCCATGAGGCTTAGGTCAGGTGAGAGCAGGAAGCCACTGGTCGGGCTGTCTTATATCCATGCCGAGATTAAGGTGACTGCATATCTTGCACGCCTGCACTGCTTCAGTTCTGAGTGTTCAGGTGTTAGCACGGGTGCCTGAGAACAGTGATGCAGCTGCCCACCGTGCCTCAGCGCTCAGGGTGTGCTCAGAGAGAGCCAGTGCACCCGCAGCTCTCAGGGTGTGCTCAGAGAGAGCCAGTGCACCCGCAGCTCTCAGGGTGTGCTCAGAGAGAGCCAGTGCACCCTCAGCGCTCAGGGTGTGCTCAGAGAGAGCCAGTGCACCCGCAGCTCTCAGGGTGTGCTCAGAGAGAGCCAGTGCACCCGCAGCGCTCAGGGTGTGCTCAGAGAGAGCCAGTGCACCCGCAGCTCTCAGGGTGTGCTCAGAGAGAGCCAGTGCACCCGCAGCTCTCAGGGTGTGCTCAGAGAGAGCCAGTGCACCCACAGTGCTCAGGGTGTGCTCAGAGAGAGCCAGTGCACCCGCAGCTGTGTCACCGCTAGTCAGCTCCTTCCTGGTAGCCACCCTTTGGTTTCTGCCTCCCCAAAGCCTGAGCCCACACAGCAGCCACAGCAGCAATGGCACGCTCCAGCAGAGCTTCCAGCTTCAGTGGTGGGGCAGGCTGTGCCTGGCCTGACCTGTCTGGCCCCCAGGACTCTGTGGAGTTGAGTGTCGGTGCTGAGATTCATGGTGTGAGAACCTGACCTTCCCTGGGGTGCTGCATAAGAGTGAGTGTGCTCCTGCCCTGCAAATTCTGACTATGGCAACATGGAACTTTTTTTTCCTTTTTCCTGGTGAGGTTTTTAAAAATAAAACCTTTATATTATTTCTGTGACATCGTGGCCAAGTGATGTAGAGTTGCAAGCATAGTGTTGAGAGTTAATAATGTGGCGTGTGGGGCAGCATGTATGTTATATCAACCCTGAGACTACTGGATGGAAGGAATGCCCAGAGCCACTGCAGCTGTCCCTCACAGTCACTGGGCTGCCAGGCAAAGGGCATGGAGTGGCAGAAAGGAACCTGGGGATTTTTAAATGTGGTGTGTGCCCAAGTCCCACTTGAACTTATTATTAAAGTTTTCCAACTAAAGTCTTTGTGACAAATAATATCTAATTAAACTTTACCTCTATGTAAAATACCCAGGTCACAGCTTGTGTTTGGCTTACTTGATGCAGCCAGTGCAGCTGCTGTGAGACCCTGAGCTGGTCCTGAGTCTGCAGTGGTCCCAGCAATGCTGTTGCTGTACTTTGTGACCACAGAGTGAAGTTCATCACTACCATGCTGTAAATTTTAAGAATAGTGGCATACATGTGGTCATGGATGCTAAGTTTATCTGTGGTTTGGCCTGACATACAGCTCGGTCAAGCACCAGGAGCAAGAGTTGCAGCCTGACCAGCTGAGGCTGTACTCCCTCACATAGGGGACCTTCTCACCTGTGTGTGCGGCACGAGCTCTTGACTCTCCTGACCTGGGGTCGTCTTCTCTCCTCAGGAGATCTGACTACATCTCTCCACTCGATGACTTGGCCTTTGACATGTACCAAGACCCCGAAGTTGCACAGATCATTCGCAGGCTGGATGAAAAGAAACGGGATGCGGTCAAGAAGGAGCGCTATGATCACGCAAAGAAACTGAAGCAAGCAATCGCTGACTTACAGAAGGTCGGTGAGCGCCTGGGGCGCTTCGAGGTGGAGAAGCGCTGCGCAGTGGAGAAGGAAGACTACGACCTGGCCAAAGAGAAGAAGCAGCAGATGGCACGCTACCGTGCCCAGGTGTATGAACAGCTGGAGCTGCACGGCCTCCTGCAGGGCGAGCCAGAGGTCAGAATGGGCCACAGGGTAGGGGCAAGTGGGAGAGAGTGAAGGGCTAACCAGAGTTGTGCTTGGGCTCTGTGAATGTGTGGACTAAAGCAGCTGCTCCGTGCCATGTGCAGTCAGCAGGTTTCTGCTGGGATGGGATCTTCTAGAGTTCACTAGAAGATGAGGAGAGGGAGCCCAGGGCTGGAAGATCAAGGCACTGTCACTTTTCAGGGACCCCTCCAGCCCAGTCACCATATTGTATGGAGTGTGGTACCTGCGCCACATGCCCTCAGGTGTAAACCCCCTGAGTAGTCTAAGTGAGTGGAAACAGACTTCTAGCAAGATCCATAACCTTACGGTTCATCAGGCAGATGCTGAATGCAGATGTGTGCATACAGACTGCCAGTTCTCACCAGTCCCACCCTCCAGGCTACTGGTCTCAGACTGGTACTGCTGGCTCTTTAGCTACCTCTGCCTTCCTGGCAAGTAAAACATAGATCAGTGAGAATCACAGTGTGCCATCCATCGGCCCTGCCTGTTTGGATTGTGAAGAGTCACCTGACCAGCTGTGAACAGCATAGGCCAGTTCTGAACCCAGAGTCCTGCCCAAGTGCCACCTGCCTACTGTTGTGCTTCTAGCACAAGTATGTTTGTGATCATGCCCAATCATGCATGCTCAGGCTGTCAGGTATTTGGGGCTGCTGTGATCTGCGCTGTAACTGTGGCAGAGACAGCTGAGGTGATGCCATGGTCCTGTGACTAACCAATAGGCCATTGTGTGCTCAGCACGACTTCCTTCAGATGGCCTGCAGTGGTCATGGCCCTTTGTCCTTCAGATGATCTGCAGTGGTCATGGCCCCTTGTCCTTCAGGTGGCCTGTGGTGGTCATGGCCCCTTGTTCTTCAGATGACCTGCAATGGTCATGGCCCCTTGTCCTTCAGATGACCTGCAGTGGTCATGGCCCCTTGTCTTTCGGATGACCTGCAGTGGTCATGGCCCCTTGTCCTTCAGATGGCCTGTGATGGTCATGGCCCCTTGTTCATCTTTCCTCCAGATGCAGAGGCCCTTCGCTTTGCCCCTCCAGCCCCTTGCATCTCCCAGCAGTCCCCAGCACTGGAAGGCAGCGTCCTCACTGCCGTGCACAGAAGAGCTGGAAACAGAAGGCACATTTGCAGGCCCTGCCCTCCAGGAAAAGCCCTTGGCATATCCCTCGGCATCATCTCCTCGACATTCAGCAGTGGACCAGTCCCCACCTGCCGCAGGCCCTGTACCTAGGAGCCATGTAAGTTACTCCACGCCAGCTTGACTGCTACCAGCTGCATCACTGAGGACCTGGGTTGGACTAGGTACTAATCCCAAGGCATAGGTACGTGCCTACTCCAGGGCCAGCCCTCCTCTCCGAGTCCAGAAGGGACCTGGGATGCTGGCTAGAGCAGAGCACAAGCAAGCATAGTCCATTGGCCACGTCCCTTGAGAGGCACATCTGTCACCTGGCCTGTCGGGCTCCCTGGGTCTGCCATGTCATCTGTGGGCTCACAAAGTCTTTACATCTACTTCAAGCATTGCTTCAAGGAATAAGTGAACATGTGTAAAATGCCCATTCCTGGAGCGCTCAAGAAGCTGAGGCAGGATTGCTGCCAGGTCAGCTTGGACTACATAGCAAGGACCAGGACATCCAAGTCAATAGAGTGAGATCCTGTCTCAAAATAAATGGGTAAATTCCCTATCCATACTTTTTCAGATGACACCTCAGTTATGTACCTGTGGTCACCATGCCTCTTAGAACAGCTTGGTAACAGGAAACCTGAGTCAAGCTGGGCTTTTTATTGACTGTTCTAGCTGGGAACACAGTAGGTCCTGCAGGTTTCAGGACTAGTTTGACTTGGGAGCTCAGTATTGTCATTAGCAACCTGATTTCTGTTGTCGATTATAATAAAGCCCCACACTAGCCCAGAATGGAGTACAATAAAGGTCTCTTTATCTGGGGGTAGACTCACAGACCATCAGTCTTCTACATGAGTGGGGCACAGGAGCCGAATCCAGCAGCCAAGGGGCCGCACACGTTTTATATCTGTATATATAGTGTATTTGACCATGCCCCAAGTGGGCCAGTATCTTAAAGGCTGTTGGCTGAAGGAGTTCCCATAGCAGATTTCTTCCCATCACGTGACTCCCCGGCTCCTTATCTCTGGGCTGCCTGCTGTCACGGCAGCACCTTTTGCCCATGGGTCCTCACTTCAGTCAGCTGGACCAACTTAGTCATGCACTCCAGCCTCTGCAGCAGCCGCGAGAGCAGAGCAGATCCCTGTGCTGACTGCTCCACCAGGCCTCTACAGAAGGGGCCTTGACCCACGTGTCCATCTTAGGGTCCCGATGCCCTTGTGGCCTAGCCTTCCATGTGTCTCAGGGTTTCACACAGTGAGTTTACGCACGTGTGCACTCACCCATTCTCTCGGCACCGTGTGCTCCCTCTCCGCTCTCACCCTGCTGTGTCCTTGCCTCTTCAATTCTGTGCCTTTGTCTCTGACTGAATGGGGCCGTGAGGGCAGAAGGTCCATCTTCCCTGCTGTGTGGGCACCAAGAGCAGTGCCTGGTGATTTAGGTGCTGAGGACTGAAGGCTGGGTTGGCAGCTGCCTCACCAAGGAGCACCACAGAGGAGGCTTGTTACAGCTTCCCTCAGTGGGCCCCAGAGGAGAAGCATGTTTATTGCTCTATGCAATGCAGTAAGAGTATGTCAACAGACACTAGTCTGAAAAATAATGGGATGACCCTTCCTCCTGTCCTCTGTGTCAGCCGAACTGGAGTGGCTGCAGGTGACTAGTGTGAGTCTGAGCTGACTTCTGAGGAGGCAGTGCTGCTGCTCCGTGTCTGGGTGAGTCTGACAGGAATGGAAGGCTTCATCAATTTTTTCCAGTTACAGGATACAGTTACAGTTACAGGATAGAATAATTGTAGGAATTATTCTATCCTGGTGCTTAGCAGACTGACTCTTTTAGAGCTTTCGCCCAGCAGTCTGTGAGGAGACACCCCAGCAGAGCACCCACCCCCAGCACTCTGCTCACCTCTGCACACCTCCAGGTGGATGCCGTGCCCTACGATGAGCGGCCTCTTCCCATTACTCGGAAGCAACTGGGGGAAGCATCCACCGAGCCCGAAGTGAAAGACGCAGACAGCAGTGACGTCCAGAGACGGGGTGTCTCAGGGGAACCAGAGCCCTTGACAGAGAAGGCCTTGAGAGAAGCCAGTTCTGCCATTGACATCTTAGGCGAACCCTTGGTAAAAATCAAAACCAAGTTATGCATGTGTATGGCATGCAAGTGTGCAGATACATGCAGACACAGAGCACACCAGCATAGGGAGAGAAGGGGAAAATTGCTGCAGGGGTTTTGCTTTGTTTAGTGTGTGTGTGTGTGTGTGTGTGTGTGTGTGTGTGTGTGTGTGTACATCCTGCCGTTCACATGTAGAGGTCTCAGGTCTTAATTTCCCCCCAGTGTAGCTGAGCTCTTCCCCTCAATTCTGCGGAGGGCTTCCTCCTACAGAAGAGTTTTGAAGTGCAGGATGGCAGTTGGGATGGCTGTGTGGGGCTGGACAGTCTGCCTCCTGAGCTGAGACAGGACTGCTGTTGGCTGGCAGGTGGCTGGGGCCTATTCTAAGACGTGGTCCTGCCGGGAAGATGCCCTGCTGGCACTGTACCAGAAGCTGATGGAGATGCCTGTTGGAACCCAGAAGGAGGATTTGAAAAACATGCTGAGAGCATCTGTCTTTCTCATCAGAAGAGCCATAAAGGACATCGTGACCTCAGTAAGTCCCTCTGCCTGCTATCCCCAGGTCATTGACATAACTGTGACTTAGCTTTCAGTGAGACAGACCAGGAATGAGGGTTCTCCAGTAAGAGGCACATCCTAGCTCCAGGACAATGGCAGATGGGAGATGCCATGCTTCCTGGGCACGTCTCTGCTCCGCACAGCCCCTGTTTCCACACAGAGCTCAGCAGGTGTGCTGAGTGCTCTCCTTCTCGTGAGGCTGTGGGGCCAACGAGCTGAGTTTCTTTTTGTAGCTCCGGACAGGCTTTAGATTGAGTGTTCAGAAATGAAAAGTGGAGAGGCTGGGTGTCTCTCAGGAGTACTGAGCTGGCATTACGTGGTCAGGAGGGTCGAGTGGGGGGGGGGCACAGTGAGCAGGGCTCCGGGTGTGGGGTGCTGTACTTGGAAGCAGTTTGTAGTATGAGGTTCACATTTGTTGGTCTCCTGTTTCCTCCTGAACTCCCACCACAGTGGCTGATGTGTCTGACCTCGTTTCTTCAGGTCTTTCAGGCCTCGCTGAAGTTGGTGAAAATGATAATTACCCAGTACATTCCCAAGCACAAGCTGAGCAAACTGGAGACGACGCACTGTGTAGAGAGGACCATTCCCCTTTTACTCGCCAGAACCGGAGATTCCTCTGCTCGCCTCCGTGTCATGGCTCTGAATTTCATTCAGGTCTGAACCTCCCCATCACCTTCCTGTGATTGTCTGACTCTGCCTCACAGGGTTCTCTACTGCTGATCCTCAGACAGCTGCCGTGATGCTCCCCAGTGCTGGGAGGAATGAGCTCTGTCTACACCAGCTTGTGTTGTTGTTTTGAGACAGCCTCATTCTGTAATGCAGGCTGGACTTGAACTCACCATGTAGTCCAGGCTGGCTCCTTGAGACTCAGTGATCTTCCTGCCCTAACTTTCCAAGTGCTCAGATTGCAAGCATGACTCCACGCCCAGCTTATCGGAGATAACAATAAAGATTGTATAAAGCTAGGGAGATGATCCAGCAGTTAGAGCAGTTGCTGATTCACAGATACAATCCTTTGAACCCACATAAACACAGGGTAAGCATGGAGCAAGCTGCCTAGCAAGACTAGCCATGTCTGCAGTCTCTGGGTTCAATTAAGAGACCCTTCCTCAAATAAGATGGACTAGGTATGGACAAAGATTCCTGAAATCAACTCGAGCCTCCACATGCACCTACACACATGCTGGTATACATAGATATTCACACACTGCCATTCACATAAAGAAAGGACCGGAGCAATGGCTCAGTGGGTAAAAGGCGCCTGTCACCAGCCTGACAACCTGAGTTTACTCCCTGAGATGGACTCACAGGGTTGAAGGAAAGAACTCCAGCAAACTGTCTTTTGCCCTCCACTCTCCCTCTGTGGTGTGCTCACACCCACACACATGCCGAGATCAGAGGAACAGGGTGCAGTCACTTAGAGGGCTGCTAACAAAAATGGAAAGGAAACCCAGTCCTGTCTGAGTCCGTCCTCACCCTTTCACCAAGCACACTTACTCTGTCCTCGGTGTGAAAGTCACATGTCATACCTGGGCAAGCGTTTAGGAAGTGCTGTGAAAGTATTGGCTTTATTTAAGTTAGCTGATGAGCGCATCTAGTTCAGGAAGCTTTGCTTATTATGAGACATGGTCTCATGTAGCCCTGGCTCAGCTGGTACTGTGCGTAGCCAAGAGTAACCCGGAACTAGATATGGTGCTCCCGGCTCGGCCTCCTAAGCCCTGTACAGGTGTGCACTGCCCAGCAGATTTTGGGATTCTAAAGCTCCGTATCTGGACTGGAGAAAACCTAAGAACTCCTTAAAATTTGATGCAAGTTTTGTGACTTAGAACATCTGTCTTAGGGCTCTTGTCATTCTTCAAGATATGAGGAATCCCAGACTTGGTTTATTAAGAAACTTATTTTCAGGGAAAGCAATTATGGAAAAAAATAAGCAGAACAGGCTGGCGGTGGTGGCGCACACCTTTGATCCCAGCACTTGGGAGGCAGAGGTCCGTGGATCTCTGAGTTCAAGGCCAGCCTGGTCTACAGAGTGAGTTCCAGGACAGCCGGGACTGACACACAGAGAAACCCTGTCTCATGAAAAGAACAAAAAGCAGAAGTGCTGCCATGTGCTTGTAGCACAGAGCTTGGCAGGGTGTCACCGTAAAAAGATACATCAGCCCTTGAAAGGCAAAGGCAGGAGGATTTCATGAGTCTCAGCACAAATGAAAATGTGTATTGCTTCATTTCTTTTCTATGTGTGAATTCGGTTTGGTTTTTGTTTTCCTGAAGAGACAGGGTCTGCCATGTCACCCAGGCCGCCTCCTTCTGGGCACAGGTGTTCCTCCTACCTCTGCCTTCCCACAGCCAGAACTGCAGGAGTGTGCCACCACACTCAGCTCATGTTCAATATTTTTTTTAAAATTTATTTATTTATTTATTTGTTTGTTTGTTTGTTTGTTTATTATGTATACAATAGTCTGTCTGTGTGTATGTCTGCAGGCCAGAAGAGGGCACCAGACCTCATTACAGATGATTGTGAGCCACCATGTGGTTGCCGGGAATTGAACTCAGGGCCTTTGGAAGAGCAGGCAATGCTCTTAACCACTGAGCCATCTCTCCAGCCCTGTTCAATATTTTTTTAAGACAGTTTTACCATTTAGCCATGCTACCCTCAACACACAGGTCCCCTGCCCCAGCATCCCTTTTGCTAGTGCTCCAGGAGTGTGCCTCTCTGCCTGGCTTTTCCTGTTAGTTTCTGGGTGGTCTAAAGCTCCCTCACTAGGGCTGAAGAGACAGCTCTGTGACGAGTGCTTACTGCTCTTTCCGAGGACTGCAGTTAGGTTCCCAGAACCCATGTGTGGTTTCTCACACCGTCCTGTGACTCCAGCTCACAGAATCTAGTGCCCTCTTGTGGCCACCACCTACACTCCTGTGGCATATACACACAGACACATAGCACAAGTGCACACGTAGACACACTCACATAAATAAAAATAAACTTTCAAAGTTGCCAGGTTACCTGTCCCTGAGCCTTCATGATCAGGCCCACTTGTCATTTCAGGAACCTCTTGTCCTGACCTCTGGAGGCCATATTTACTGTGCCTTTGTCCTTTGTATCTGAGCCGTCACTCATCACTCATGGCCCAAATACAAAGAGAGATTGTGACTACATACTGAGCACAGTATAGCAAGTTCAAGGAGACTAAGCATCATAGTGAGACCCTGTCACCCAACAATGGAAGCAATAGATAGGACTTTCTTTCTGGCCCACCGGTGATCACATTACTAGAGAATCATTGACACTTGATGCTGAAATTCTATCTCTAAGCCTAATCTTTTCCCACATTTTACATTCAGAAAATGGTTTTATTGAGGTTGAGAAATTCCAAGAACAGAAGCCTTCAGGTTTTCAGTTTGTTTTCAACGTTCTCCTGACTCTCATGTTGATCTCTTCTGTTTCAGATCTGTGGTTCTACCCCCTCCCTAACTGTTTCCAAGAAACCCCAGCTCCCATTCATAATTCTTGTGTGGCTGTCACCGTCCCTTCACTTCCCTGTTTGTTCCCTCAGTGTTCAATGTGACAGTCATGCTAAGCTGTACTGAATTACCTCTAGCTTTTTACCTGTAATAATGAACAAATCATGCTGTGTCTTGTAGGAAATGGCCTTGTTTAAGGAGGTGAAATCTCTCCAACTCATTCCATCCTACTTAGTACAGCCACTGAAACCCAATGCTTCCACTCATCTGGCAATGAGCCAGGTGGACCTTCTGGCCCGGCTGCTGAGAGACCTGGGCACTGGGAACTCAGGCTTCACCGTGGACAGTGTGATGAAGGTGAGCCAGCCTCATGCGACAGGATATTGGTCACAGCTTAGGGCAGGGCTATCCAATCAGTGACTGAGCCAGGGAGCATGCGGGAGCGGTCACTATCTAAAGTGGGGAGCAAATCATGAGAGTCATTCTTTGGGGAGTTGACTGAATGCTCGCCTGGCAAGCATAGACCCCCAGGTTCAATCTGCAACACTGCATACACCAGGCTTTACACTCTGGCAATCCCAGCATGGAGGAGGTAGAGGCAGGAGAATCAGGAGGTCAAGATTATCATTGGCTGCACGGTGAGTTTGAGACCAGCCTGGGCTACATAATATTCTGTCTCAAAAAACCTGAAAAAAAAAAAAAAACTTATTTGCTTAAGATACATCAGAGAATATAAACAAACCATCCCTACCTTGGTCTCCGGCCTGGATCATTGCCAGACACTTGTTTCATGACTGAACCTCGCTGTCTATAGTACAAGACACCCCTAGTGTATGTGACCCAAGACTGAGGTGAAACAAAATAAACCAGTGCCCCCTGATGATATGAAGGAAAGGAAGAAGGGTACGGGGTAACTGCAAGACTGGGTGAGCAGGACCGGGGTGGCTGTGCAGTGTAGACCCAGTGCAGAGGCCGGGAGACTCGGCAGCAGGGTGGACCAGAATCTCTGATGTAAGAGTAGAGGAAACAGACGCAGTGTGAGAGCCAGATGGTGACAGCGCACAACCAGGTCTAGGTAGAGCCTAAGAGTGGGACTCAGGCTCTTCAGAAATGTGGGAGGCCCAGGGCCCAGAGCCACTGGGGAGGCATTGACCTGGGTGTGACAGCACCACAGTGCAGTGAAAAGGAAAGTCATAGGCAGAGGTTCTCAGCCTGCCTAATGCTGGGACCCTTTAATACAGCTCTTCATGTTGTGACCCAACCATAACATTATTTTTGTTGCTACTTCATAACTAATGTTGCTGCTGTTAGGAATCATAATGTAGATATCTGTGTTTTCCGATGGTCATTTGGGGGTTGGGAACCGCTGGAGCAGAAGACACAGTGTGCATGTGGAGATAACCAGGTTGAGGCCAGCCTGGGCTGCATAGATGAGACTGTCATAGATAGACAGACAGACAGACAGAGCGAGCAGAAAGCACAACGTGTGTATGGAGGTCAGAGGATAATTTGTAAGAGTCATGTTCTCTTTCCACTCTGGTTCCCAAGGCCAGGACTCAGGCAGTCAGGCTGGGTGGCAAGTACCTTTACTGGCTGAGCCATCTCGCCAGTATTTTTGGTGGTCTGATCGATTACGGTTCTAGGGAAAGAACACGTGGATATGTTAGACCAGTGCTCTTAACACTAGCTGCATCCCAGCACCCTGCTCATGATGCCAAAACAACAAACTGCACAGACACTGCGCAAAGTGACAGCCTGCAGGCAGCAGCACATGTCAGCTGCCGATAAATGGGAACCTGCAGGCAGGGGAAGAAAACAGCCCGGGCAGACAGACAGACAAAAATCCCAGAGGCGCCACCCACTTCATCCCTGTTTGGAGTGTTTCCCAGTAGGAAGTGTGTGGATGCAAATTAAGGAGGGCTTCCCAGTGCACCAGTGGTGCTAGACTCCAGTGGGCTGTGTCACATGTGGAAGAGAACTCGGGGTGTGTGGCCCCCTCTGCTCTTGCCTTTATTTTCCAAGTCTCTGTGGTATACCTGGGTGTCTCTTGTGCTGGGAGAAGTTAACTTTGTTATTAGAAAATCAGTAGCAGAGCTGAGACTGCTTTCTTGGCAGTTTGCACTGAGTGCCCTGGAGCACAAGGTGTATGATGTGCGAGAGACAGCAGTCAGAATCATCCTGGACTTGTACAGACAGCACCCAGCCCTCACCCTGGAGCACCTTCCCCCGGAAGACAGCAACACACGCAGGAACCTGCTCTACAAAGCCATTTTTGAGGGAATCGCTAAGATAGACGGCCGGCCGACGGAGGCTGAAGTCAGGGTGAGTGCCTCACGGATCGATGAAACTGCAGTCTGGGTTGAAGAAGTAACCTGGACCACGGACCAGCCATGCTGACTCATACCTGTGGTCTCAGCATTGGGAGGCTGAGCCGAGAGGATTGCTGTGAATATAGAACAGGCTGGGCTGAGGAGAGAGAGAGAGAGAGAGAGAGAGAGAGAGAGAGAGAGAGAGAGAGAGAGCGCGCGCGCAGTGCTACCTGAGATGTGAATAAACGGCCAGTTTCTTTCTAGGAGCCCATATGGAGAAGCACAGTCTGGTAAGAAGCATACCCCTGAGCGAGGCCCTGGCCTGTCTGTGCCCTGCCTGTAAGACCAGTGTTTCCTGTCTAGGAAGAGCGGGATCAGTGCTGTACAAACCTTTAGTAAATTACCGAAGAATTTCCTTTTAATACGAGTTACAGTCATGTCCAAATTAGATGCTTCAGTTTGTTTCCCACTGTCTGAAGCTACCCTAATTAAGTTCCTCTAATGGGGAAAATGTTTTTTTAACCAGGCCCAGAAAAGAGCAGCCACTAAAGAAGCAGAAAAGCAGAAGAAGGAAGAGGTGAAGGTTCTGCAGGGCCAGTTGGCAGCGCTGAGAGAGACCCAGGCCGGAGCCCAGGTCAGTAGTTAGCCAGCTCCACTGCTGCTCTGAGGCTTGGGGGGAGCATCCTCCTGCCTGTTCTCAAGACAACCTGAGTTGAGTCTCCCTGAGAGCCACGTGGTAGGACTGACTCCATAAAGTGGTCCTCTGACCTCTTCACTTTGCACCGTGGTATGCATGCATCCGCCCCCATACACGCGTACACACAAAGTAAAGTAATTTTGAAACTGTAGGAGGGCAGAGGAGTTAAGGAGGGCCACAGTCCCAGATGAAGGCTCAGTCTTACCAGGTGTACTTGGAGCCTGCCTCCGAGCTGCTTGTGCCCGTGGCCACAGCTACTACATAAACCCAAGGATGCTGTGGAGAGGGCGGAGGTCTACACGCTACTGTCCACACAAATGGGAAAGAACAAAGAGAGAAGCAGAAAACACATCTACAAATACATTTGCCCAAGAAGGGCTGGAGGTCCCTAGACCTTCCCACCAAAGGCCAAAGTGAGAGGAACAGTAAGGAAAGGAGAAGCGGTGGGGGCAGGAGCTGGCCGCTTCCTTCCCCTGCCTCCTCTACCACTGTAGCACTATGGCAATCACCACTGGGGGGTGGGGAGGACGGGCAGTCATGCTGTGTTTTTCCCACTGGTTCACAAGTGTGATGAACGAGAGGCTCACTCCAGGTCACACGCTAGCTAGGACATGACCAGGGCCCTGCTGCCCATCATACCTGTGCTGGGGCTGATGATCACCTGGCTCCTAGGAATGACAGTCACCTGTGGAGAAGATTGGTAGCCTTGGTATTTGTGTGTCTATGGAATGGTGGAGCTAAGGGGCTTAAAGAGAGCAGGAGAAAATGTTGGAGTTGTTTTGTTCTTGTTTTTAGCATTGAGTCTCACAGTTGTAGCTAAGGCTGCCCTAGAACTCATTCAGTAGCACAGACTGGCCTCAAATTTGTGATCCTCTTGCTTCTGCTTACGAAGTGCCAACATCACAAGTGTTCACCACCAGGTTTGGCTTGAAAAGATTGCTGATAACTCTTTCATAGTGTTGTGGAGCCCAGTGCCTATAATTACAGCACTAAAGAGGCTGAGGCAGGAGGATTGCAATGTTGCGGCCAGATGAGACTGTTACAGATAGATGGATGGATGGATGGACGGACCGACAGACAGACAGGAAGGACTGTCCTAAACGAATGAATAGAAAAACATGAATTCTGTTATTCTTTGATAGAAATATCAAACAAAACCTAGACATACACTTTGAGGATAGTGTGAGTAGACTAACTCACAGCTGCAGTTCACTCTGACCGTTGCTGTCTGTGTCCTAGGAGAAGGAGAATGATGGTGTGAAGCTCAGAAATCAAGGTGAGCGAATTCCAACCAAGACACCACAACACTGACCTCACTTCCTTTGTCAAGCATGGTTATGCATTCCTTTAATCCCAGCCCTCAGAGACTGGAGGATTTCTTGTGGGTTTGATGCCAGCCTGGGCTACAAAGCCAGCCAGGGCTGCATAGTGAGACTGTGTCAAAAACAAAATAAAATCACTTCCTCTAGCAGGCCTGGTGTCAGACATCTGAGCCCAGTGAATGGCAGATGAGGCAGGAGGATGGCAAATGCCTTAGTTACTTTTCTGTTGTGATAAGATGTCAATAACTAAGGCACCTTATAAAAGAAAAACTTTATTTGGGGCTTGCAGTTTCAGAAGGTGAGCCATGACTACCCTGGCAGGAGCATGACTGCAGCAGGCAGGCATGGTGCTGGAGCAGTAGCTGAGAGCTCACATCTGATCCACGGGCACCAGAGAGAGGGACAGATGCTGGGAATGGGGTGGGCTTTTGAAATGTCAAAGCTTGCCACCAGTGACACACCTCCTCCAACAGGCCACACCTCCTAATCCTTCCCAAACAGTTCCGCCACCTGGGGACACGTGTTCAGACGTGAGCCTGTGGGGGCCGTGCTCACTCAGAGCACTGCAGCAAGTTTGCAGCTACTCCAAGCTGCCTCGCAAGGCCTTGGCCACAAACCTGAGGCTGCAGCTGTAGCTCATGGTGCCAGTGCTTGCCTGGGATGTGCAAGGCCTCGATTTGGCTCCTAGCACTGAAGAAAAGGGAAGAAAGCTGCTTCTCTTGATTCTGCAGCCCCAACTGGAGCTTACTTTGTGCTTGGACACCTGACCACTGGTTTATAGAAACCAAACTGACAGTTTCATAAATTACTATTTTTTGCTGAAACTTTAAACATTTCAACCAAACATTACTTAGATTGTGCTTTTTTAATCTCCTCAGACCCTCAAGGAAGGAAAGCTGCCCCACCAGATGCTCCGGAAATCCCAGATAACCATTATTTGGATAAGTGAGTGACGCTGCCTGTGTCTGTGACTTGGGGCTCTCAAGGGGAATAGCCTGCCTGTGGAGCACCAGGCCTTTCAGGACAGGAGGGGCCTAGCGAGTTCTGAGTCTAATGCATTGGGGGTTGAGTGGCCATAGTAGCCAGAGCAAAGCCTTCACTTCTGCCTTTTCTAATTCATTGTAGTCTGTGCATCTTTTGTGGGGAGAGGAATGAATCTTTCACAGAAGAGGGCCTGGACCTCCACTACTGGAAACACTGCCTCATGCTGACAAGATGCGACCACTGCAGGCAGGTCAGGTGCTGGGCATGGGCCATGGCCACTCACAGGTGACCACTGCAGGTCAGGTGCTGGGCACTAAGACACCCAGGTTTTGAGAAAAAGACCAAAGCATGGGTAGCCCCAATCTTTGAAGCTTGAGAGGGAAGTCATGAAGAGAGCAGAGAAGTCTGTGCTGTGACCCAGAGTGACTGACTGTCAGCCACCCTCTACCACCTGCAACTCAGTCTGTCCCTGTCCCCCTTTGACAACATTTACAGCATTTGTTGCTTGGCCTTCCTGTAAGTGGAATCCTGTTGTGTGGGCCCACGCTCTCCTGTGTCCATTGCCTGTTGCTATGTATGTGTTTTGCATAGACCATGATTGATTCATACCCTGACTGCTTCAGTTTGGGACTGCTGGGAATAGCTTTGCTGTTGGCATTCTCATGTTTCATTACTCCTGGAACACACAAAGAAGCATCCATTGTCCCCAGCTAGGACACTAATTAGGATCCTCTAAGTCCAACTTACCAGGAAGTTTATTAGCTACTTATGGCTCGTGGGCATTGTGTGGCCCTCCATCTCCAGCAAGTAGCCAGGTGATGTGCACTACCGTGGCCTGCTTCCAGTCCTGTCCCCAGTGTGCTGCCTGAAGGCATGTTATTATATGCTCCAGCTGAGTGTGTTTTCAGGACCTCCAGCTATACAAGACAAGAACAGGCACACTGAGATTCTCCTGCACATGCTTCAACCTTAGATGGTTGGGCCGCAGTTGCAGATGCCTCTTGTTTCCCATAACAGGCAATGCAGCAGCTTGTCCAACACTCTTCCTTGGCTCTATTGTGTCTATAGTCAGGCTCTGATTTGCTGTGTGGGTTTTCCTAGGGAGATATACAGAACATTTGTTCACCTCCATAAGACACCAGCTCAGGGTACAGCTGACAAAAGCCATCTCAGTGGAGTGCCATCCTCAGTGAACCTTCCACTTCCTGTGTGTTGCAGCTGAGGGGCAGGATCAGGAATGGTGGGTGGAATCTTGGGAGGGCTGCAGTTCCATCCCTTACCATGTATCAGGCTATCAGTGTATTGTTTTGCATAATTTTATTGCCATAACTATGGGTTCAAGATCAGCACAGCAATCTCTGCTCTACAATGGCCATGGTCAAGTTAATTATGGAGTCTCAATGTGACCACAGCACTGGGCCACATGCCTAGCCTAGTCCTGTTGATGGGCCATAGTGCAGCACTAGGCCATATGTCCAAGCGTGGTCCTGTGGATGTGACCACAGGGCAACTCTGGGCCACATGTCTAGCCGGGTCCTGTTGGACAGGCTTTTTCTACTGAACTAGTGCCCAGAGGTACAGAGTCCTGGCCACCTTATAGCCCACAGCAATGAGAAAGAGGCCTCCATTATCTCCCTTCCACTCTTGACCCAGAAGTCCCACCTATACCTCCTGCCTAGCTATTGGCCATTCAGCTTTGTATTGCACCAACCACAACCCATCTTCACACAGTGTACAAATATCCCACAACAGAAGTCCTTCCTAGGGGTCATGCCCTGCTCTGCTTCCCTCCTGCTCTGGGCCTCTGTCTTCAAGCAGTGAAGACAAATGGGAAGTGTTTCGTTTCATCTGGTGCACAGGGAAGGATGTAAGAGGGCAGGTCTCACCCTTTGGACACTCATTCCTCCATCCGGCAGTACAGATTCTGACAGCCCCAGGTGTGCAACTGACGTCTTCAGCAGTGTGTGGTTCCATGTCTATGCGGAAGGTATTCTGAGCAAGTGTTGGATGGGTGGGAAAACCTTCTTCATATGCACATTCTTAAGAAATACTGGGGAGCCAGAATTTGAACCCAGAGCCACAGCAGACACTCAGATCAGCTGTAGCCCCAGCCCATACCATGGCCTTTCCATGGCACTCAGGTGACATGAGGAGGACCCAGGGTCTCTACGAAGTGTGTGACTGCGGACACTGTTGGTTAAACAAATGCCAGAGGATCCAGAACAGCTGCCCTGGCCTCCCCACAGCAGTCACACGGCTCTGTCTCCGGTACAGGTGGTTGAGATCTCCAGCCTGACGGAGCACCTGCTGACAGAGTGTGACAAGAGGCATGGGTTTGGGAAGTGCCACCGCTGCAGTGAGGCTGTCCCCATGGAGGAGCTTCCCAGGCACATCCAAACCAAGGAGTGCAACCGTGAGTGCCATCTAGAATTGTGGGGTTGGATGGACCCTTCCTCTCACTGAGGGGTCATCCAAGTAACCAAGTCTTCTTATTGAAATCATTGCAGCTGCCAAATCGGAGAAGGTGGCAAACCGATGTCCTCTGTGTCATGAAAACTTTGCCCCTGGAGAAGAGGTAAGGGGGCCTGAACCAAGATGCGGGCAGCCGGGGAGCACTGAACGCACTCTCAGGATGACAGTTAGGAGGCACAGTGCCCTCCTGACTTCCTAACAGCAGAGTCTTGGTCACTGGGCACCCATGGTTTTACAGTTCTTGGTGTGGCATCATGGTCAGGTCTGTAGCCCATAACCATTTGGAGTAAAAGAATGTGCCCCATGGTGGTTGATGGTTCTCTTCCTACTCAGGGCCATGCTCTCCCCCTGTCCTGAGCAGGTACCATGGGGACACAGGCTGCTTTTTGTCATGTGCTTTGCCTCTGGTATTTGGGGATGCATGCAGGGGCTGAGGTATCCACAGGCCTACCCCCTTTCTGCCTGCACAGCACAGTGGTGGTGCCCTACATGCCAGGCAGCTCTGGAGACCTTCTCTTGGCTGTGCTTCTGCCCCAGGAGATGCTATGGAGTCCAATATTCTTTCCTGTCACCTTTCTTCATCCCCAGTGTTGTGTGACAAGACTTTCACTGGGGAGACACAACACACATCTAACCACCCCAGAGAAGGAGCCCACACAGTACAGAAACTACCAAAGTCCAACTTGGTGAAGCCTGAGTAGTACTGGGATAACTTAGGAGGAGAATAAGTGAGGGGTTGCTTATAGGAGACTGTCCTATCACCAAAGCTCGCCCCAGCCTGTGCGACAATTTACTGAAGCTGGGAACCTGGAGCACACTGCACATTCTGCTTACAGAGCTGTATGGGGTGTTCTTTCCTGGTGACTCTGGTCTAAACCTCTCCCAGGCAGCTGGGCTGGTCTTGGGGTCTTTGCAGCTTGACTTCATTCACTGACAGGGAGGGGCGTAGTGTACCTGGTCAGTTTTGGGGACTTCCTGAAGCTGTTTACCTTCCTGCTTAAGGAGTTTTCCCACAGCATGAGGTTTTTTTCGATCTTGGAGGAACCTGTTACACAACTCTTAATGGCTATCAGAATGTCAGGCCAGCTCACTAGTCTCTAGGTGGCAGCTTGTCTGCTTTTAGTGTCTTGCTAAACTCATGGATGGGAGTAGATACAGAGCCATGGCCACCCTGCCCTATGGATGGTCACCTCTGGACAGCAAGGGTCCTTTTGCCTGGTCTTCTGAGGCTTTGTAGCTGACATGTATCCTCCTGTGTGGAAGATTCTACCCAGACAGGAATCAGCTGTCCTGCCAAGATGTGTGGCCCTCTCTCTCTCAGCAGGCCTCAGCACAGGGAGGGCCACTGCTGCCAAGCCACAGTGGACAGAGCTGGGACACTTACGTGTCACAACCCTGTCAGTACACACTGCTGTCTGCTGTCTCCCATCCACACCCAGCCAGTGCACCTTTCTCGCCTTGTCTTCCTGGAATCCCGGCATGCTCCCTTCTCCCCTGTCCCCAAGTTCTGTAGCCTCATCAACCAAAAAAGGTCCAAGGACACAGAATGAGTGTCTGCCCTAGGACAGCCCTGGAGTCGGTGGGTCCAGCCCCTGCTATTGTCAGGTTCTGTTCTGGAGCCTGGACGCCCGCTGGAAGACCCGCTTGGGTGCTTTGTTCCCATGTCACAGGCCCAGGCTTTGAGCTCGAGCGTTGGTTTCCCCAGTCTGTGAGTAGGGCTTGTTGTAAGACCCGCATCCAGGCTGAGACTGCTGTGCTTATCCTGCTACCCCGTGGAAGAGGACTTGTTCACACCTGCACGTCCTGCACGTCCAGACCCCTCTGTAATTTAGGAGCCTTCAGTTTTCATCATAATCACTGCCTGTACTGACCCACTTCCAGCTGCCCACAGTCTTCTTTCTCTTGCCCTCGCTCTGTTGGTCTCTGCCCTGAATAGTACTGAACCAGCCAGCAGCTTCCTCCTTTCTGCCCTCTGTGCCCACTATCTGCCATGTACTAATACCCTGTCCGTATCAGTGGCTGTTCACTGTCACGTGACTTTCCTATTCCAGGTGTCTATGCTATCTTAGCTCTGTTTGACAACGTCCATTTACCACCTCATGGTTTCCCTGACTCCAGGCTGGGCTGCCATGGAGTGGCTAGCTAACCTACACGTTCATGCAGCTCAACAAGGAAAGAGCCCATTGCCTAGTGCCTTCTAGCAGCTGGCAAAAATAAGTCCTCATAGCCACAGGACTCAGGTTCCAGTCATTCAAGGTGGAATGTGAAATGCAAAAACAGCCTGTAAGACTTTGGTGCTCAGGCCAAAGAAGGGCAGGGAGCCAGGCCTCTCACTGGTTGGCACCTCATTCCCATTATGAACAGTGAGTTGTATACTCTGGCAGCGCCCCGGGTCCCTTGGAGCCACCAGGCTAACATGCTGAGCCTCCTCTTTGTTGCAGGCGTGGAAGGCTCATCTGATGGGCCCTAATGGCTGCACAATGAACCTGCGCAAGACACACGTTCTCAGCAGGGCCACAGCCCCACAGCAAGGTGAGTCAGAAGTCACACGTGGGGCCCTGCATTCTGCTGCAACTTAGGTGAGATGCATCCTGAGTTTCCTGTCCATGTGCATCTGACCTGCTAACCCCATTCTCCAAGGGGCAGCTGCTCCCCACAGATGCCTCCTGGCAACTCACTGGGGGCTGTAAGGCTCCCCACAGCTGCTGCACCCACAGAGGAAGCCACTGCCTTCTTTCAGCCCACCATCTAAGGCATTCATTTCAGATTAAGACACAGAACAGAAGACCTTTGGATGTGGTGATACCGTGAAACAGTGGCTCGTTGTGGGGGTGTAGCTCTGCGTCTCCGTACTTACGCACAAGGAAGGCTCTCCACTCCCTTCCTGGTTCAGCGGGAAATAGTGGCTCAAGCAGGGCTCACGTGGCAAGACCTCCTCTTTAGCCAACCTCTTAGACATAAGTGGACAGAAGCCCATGGCTCCTTGTCAGGTCACATTCATTGTGGCTGCTGCCACATTTCTGGAGTTGGGTCTTTGAACTGATGGCCTTCTGTGCCATGCGTCCTGTGTCTTCCTCTCCTGCTGCCATATGCATTTCTAACCTAGTGTGGGTTCTCGGCCATTCTTACAGTCACTATGGGGTCTGCAGTCCACCTGCAGGTAAGAGTTCCACTTTTCATGTGGTTCTGTGTCCTGTGCTTCTGTCTCCACTACAGGGAAGGGCCCAGCAGCATCGAAGTCAGGCACCTCAGGACCCAAGGTTGGAAGCAAGATCCCCACCCCAAGGGGGGGCCCGAGTAAGAGCTCCAGCAGGACGTACATGAGACGGTGACAGTTTCCACTTCTGTCTCTGCCAGGGACTGTGCAAGTTTCCCCGTTCTAAGCCATGTGTGTTGATATAGTGATGCAGGACTGTGTGCCTGCTGACCTTGGCCTCTTGTGTCGCCGGAACAGAGTGTATGGATATGACCAAAGAACCCGTCCCACGCTAGGCCCTTTGTCAGTGCCCAGGCACAAAAGTACCTCTTGCTCAGGAAGCCAGCAAGTACAGCACTCACTTTCCTTACTACTGAGATGTACCCCAAACTTTGAGCTCACTGGTGTCTGTTGCACATGTTAGACTTTGCACAGGGCTAAGCTCAGCGTTGGTGGCCCTAGCAGACAGCAGCAAGCCAGACTGAACCTCCTGTGTTGTCTCTCTCACGGCCTGTCTGCTAGGTTGTCACAGCATATACAGTGACAAGCAATAAAGGGAAGCAAGCAAAAGGCAGCCGTCCTAAGAACACTGCCCAGTGCTCCTGTGCACACCTGTCCCCATTCCCCACTGACAGCCCTACCTTGATGCCTTCCCTCAGCGGGCTCAGATCCTCTGCTGCAGAGTCCTCAATGGGCTTTGGGTGATGTCCCCTGGTTACCCACCTGCAAGCCTCAGTTTCTTTATGGCCACATTTGCTAACCCAAAAAGTTGTGTTATGTCCTGTGATGTAAGTGAACCCACTTTCCCAGATCATTCACAGGATGTCACTCACAAGACCTCAGGGGCAGCTGCAGCATCCTCCGCCCACCTTCCTCCCAGGAGCTCCAGCAGACAAGCATCTGTGGAGAACTGAGTCCATCTGAAACTCATGCCCCTGTCTCCGCCCCAGGCTGAAGGGGGCCACCGAGGCCCTGTCCTGTGCCTGCTTCCTGAGGTTTTCCTCATTTCCCCTTGAAATGTCTGGGATTGAGAAAATGAGTGTTATAAAATTAGGGCATATTTCTTTAAAATTCCCAACCATGTAAAACAAAATCCATATGTATAGGTGCCTGAGCAGCAAGCATGCTGGGTAGTCAATCCCATGAGCTCACGCCTGATGTTGGCAGACAGCTGCTGTGCTTGGCTGAGAGTGTCGCGTGGAGCAGGATCTGTTGAGAGGAGGATCCTGTCGGAGGCCTTTACTAAGATATTTGTAAAAATCCTTCCTTCTTAGCCCGCGTGGTGGTTCACACCTGTGCTCCTGGCACTCGAGAGGCCGGAGTCAGAAGCTCACAAGTTTAAGGGAAGCCTGGGCTCCAGAGTGAGGCGCTGGCTCAAAATTAAACAGAACAAAAAAGAATCCCTCATTTTAGCTCCCGTGTTTGCCTGTTACAGAATCATGAGTTTCTGCAGAGGTGACTGGCGGTCTCGGCAGCCTCAAAGCTCCACACCACTGTGCTTGATTCAGGGAGGGAGCTAAGAGCCCACCGTTCATAATATCAAAGTGTGGAACACTCCTCAAGCTTCACGTACGACACGTTGTGGATATTTAATATTTATTTATATTATTTTTCATAAAAGATATTCTATTAATCCTAATTTAAAAGAATTGTGTCATATCTGATACTGAAATACATTGTAAATACCTTTAATGAAAATCTGCAACTTTTTAATGTTTTAACATAGTTTTTCTATTTGTCTTTATTTCAGGTGCCAGAAGTATAAAATAATATATTTTTATTGTTTTAGGATTTATGTGCTAATTTGACTTGAGTACATTAATACAGTAAAAAGATCATTCAGTGTTTGTCACTTTTATTTCAAGATTTTATATACAGATTTCATTTTTTTTTTACTAGATTTACTCCTTTTACATGTGTGTGTTTTGCCAATATGTATGTTTGTGCACCACATGTGTGCCTGGTGCCCATGGAAGTCAGAAAAAGGCACCAGATTCTTTGGAATGGGAGTAATTGTTATAAGCCACCCACTATGTGAGTACTGGGAACTGAACCAAGGCTCACTACAGAGCAATAAGAGCTCTTAACCACCGAGCCACTTCTTCAGTCCTGTTTCTGTGTTTGAGTCAAGGTCTCACTATGCAACCCTGGCTGGTTTAGAGCTTGTGGTATAGGCCAGGCTGACCTTGAGCTCAGAGATCTACAGGAGTCTGGCTCCCAGGTGCTGGGACTAAAGGCGATCACCACGGTGCCCAGCTCACTGGATTTGTAAGTCACGTTCTGGGTGTCTGTGGGGCAAGTTTCCAGAGAGAATTAACCAGACTGGCCTTAAGAGTTGCATCCTTTGGGCTGGGGCATGATCTCTCTACCCTGACCTCTCCTCCTCTCTGATTTGCTCTCCCATGAGGTGTACCACCTCTTCTGTCTGCTTCCAGCACCACGTTTCTGCTCCTCCGCAGGCCCAGTGATAAAGCCAGCCAACCATGAATGGTTCTAGAATTAAAGCTTGATAAGTCACCTATGTAGACAAAGATGAGCAGCTGGGTGTTGTCCTGGTTGGTTTTATGTCAACTTCACATACACTAGAGTCACCAGAAAGAAAGAAGCCTCAGTTGAGGAAATGGCTCCAGCAGGAAGGCATTTCTTCAATTAGTGATTACCAATGTCTTGGGGACCAGCCCCAGCAGTGCAGGGTACAAAGGGAATCCACAGAGTCAGCACTTACTGTGACTTCGTTATCTGAAGGGTGTAGACAAAGTTTCTGTCCCACCCAGTCCCATAGCTATTCAGTCCCAAAGAAACACACAGGGGCTTATATAATTATAGACTGTTTGGCCTATTAGCTCTGGCTCATTATTAACTAGCTCTTACAACTTAAATTAACCCATAATTCTTACCTATGTTTAGTCACGTGGCTTGGAACCATTTCCCAGTAAGGCATTCTCATCTTGCTTCCTCTGCATCTGGCTGGTGTGACTCTCTGCCTTTCCTCTTCCTAGAATTCTAGTCCGGTTGCCCCACCTATACTTCCTGTCTGGCTACTGGCCAATAAGCGTTTTATTAAACCAATACAAATGACAAATCTTTACAGTGTACAAGAGCATTATCCCACAGCAGAGGAGGGTTAAGGGAAAAGACACATTGTCTCTTGAAGGTTTCCTTCTTTATTCTTCTGTGGTCTATCTTCTCTTTTCTATCTCTATCCAGAAATGTCCCTTCTATCTCTCTTGATGTTTTCCTTCTAATCTATTTTAACTCTCTCTTCATTCTTTCACTTACATCCTATATACCTCAGGAAAATCTTTCAGGCAGAATAAAAATTACAGTGTGGTTACATTCTGTTTTTCAAGTGAATTATTACAATGAGTACAAATAAAACACAGCCTGTTTTCCATATCCCTTCCATGATTTTTTGTATGACAGGTGAGAAATTGATTATCCCAAGAACCCAGGCATATTCACACTCACGCAACTTGTTAGAGATTAGCAGTGTGTATGCAAGCAAGGTATTCTACAGGCAGGCTACATTTTGTAGAGCCAAAGAAAGGACCAATCACTTTATTACTTATCTTAAAAGGTGATCTTACAAGGAATCTTAAAGAAATCATGAATCTAAAATTTTCTATATGGAAAAGAGTCAGTCAGCTCTACTTTAAATGTTTAGAGTCCATACCCACTCATCAATATTGTTTACATCAGGAGATTGAGGGCAGAAATGGGTACAAGGAATTAATCATCACCTTTGGTCATCAACCAATCCCAGTAATAATTAGGCTGTTTCGTTCTGTTCTCTGAACTTAGAGAGTTCCTCATTCAGCTGTGTGGCTTTCTAAAACTTTAGATTGTCTTCTTGGGTTTGTGACCTCAGAGCTATCATCAAAGCATCTGCTCTAATCTGAGGTTATTGTGAGGCTTTGTTTGAGCTAATGATGCCCACTGAAGTCTGTGAGTACTTCTTTCTACATTAAGATGAAAGGAATTGGAGCCAGCCGGCTCCTGGGACTCAATCGTTTTTCTTTTTTTTTAAAAAAAATATATATATAATATATTTATTATGTATACAATATTATGTCTCTGTGTATGCCTGCAGGCCAGAAGAGGGCACCAGACCTCATTACAGATGGTTGTGAGCCACCATGTGGTTGCCGGGAATTGAACTCAGGACCTCTGGAAGAGCAGGCAATGCTCTTAACCACTGAGCCATCTCTCCAGCCCTCAATCGTTTTTCTTAATCATTAACTTGAGCTGCAATCTGTGCAGCTCCTTAGGTGAAACTCATAGGCCCTGGCTCTGTAACATGTCCTTGTATGTATTTTTATTCATCAAAACTCTGTATAAACATTATTATTATCAGTCAGAGAGCACAGCTTAGGAAGGAATCATCTCCATAAGAATTCACAGGTAAAAATGCCCAGCCGAATGAGATAAGCATACTATATTACAGGCAGTGGGGATCTCCCACACCCATTCACACCATGCCAGATACCAGAAAAAGACAGCAGCCGCAACACGCAAACAAGTAAAGGCACAGCAGAAGCAAAAGACCTTCCAGAGTCTGAGGTCTCAGGGCCTCTTCTATCAGAGATTCATCCAACAGGGAATTGCCTTCTGGTGGGCTAACACCTTGAACTTCAATTGCCTCCTGCTGCTCCTCTAAAAGTGATCACTGGGGGAGGGCCCAGCTCATTGTGAGTGGTGCTTTCCCCAGGCTAGTGGTCCTGGGTTCTGTAAGAAAGCAGGCTGAGCAAGCCATGGGAAGGAAGCAGTAAGCAACACCCCTTCATGGCCTCTGAGTCAGCTCCTGCCCCCAGGTTCCTGCCATGCTTGAGTCCCTGACCTGATTTCTTTAAGGTGAGAGACCAGGAGAGACCATTAGTGGAGGTGCAGCCTCAGTAACAGTTCAAGATCCAGGAATGAAAGGGTCACGAGAAGCGGAGGCTTGGTTCCATGTAGAGCCTAGGAGAGGCTATTGGTGAAAGTTCAGTCCAGTTGCAGTAGAGAACCCCAGCAGTGTTGGAGATGCCAGTACCCTGGGCCAACAAGGATAGAAGTAGCAGTGAAGTGGAGCCAGCCAAAGCCTAGAAGATCAGCTGTGTGTGCTGCCGGGGGCAGAGCATAGGATGTGACCCAGATCGTGTGTCAATCCAGACATTGGACATTGCTGTTGACGGAGTGGGAATTTGGTTTGATTGTGACTGTCCCCTCTTAAAGCACCAAAGTATTTAAATTTGATTTTTTTCCCCAGGAGACCACAGATGAAAGACATTGAGTTTTTAAAAAAAGAGATTTGAACTTTTTAGAGAGATTGGATATTTTTAAAAGACCAAAATTTTTAATGTGTTTGAACTTGTAAAGACTATGGGACTTTTAAGTTATTTATGTTTTTAGTGTGAGATCCTGGGAATGAATAAGAAAGGAAGGGTTGTGGCTGAATAGTGATGTATTTGTGTGTCAGCTAGAGTCGTCAGAGAGAAAAGAGCCTCAGTTGAGGAAATGCCTCCATGAGATCCAGCAGTAAGACATTTTCTTAGTGATCAATGGGGGCACCATTGTAAGTGCCAGCCCTGGGCAGGTGGTCCTGGGCTCTATAAGAAAGCAGGCTGAACAAGCCATGTGGAGCAAGTCAGTAAGCAGCACTCCTCCATGCCTCTCCATCAGCTCCTGCCTCCAGTTTCCAGCTCTGCTTGAATTCCTGTCCTGACTTCCCTCAATGATGAACAGTGCTGTGGAAATGTAAGCTGAATAACCCCTTTCCTCCCCACCTTGCTTTGGGGTCATGGTGTTTCATCGCAGCAATAGTAACCCTGACTAGGACAGATGTGTAGGTCAAGGAGCATGTACAGGACTCTGACCCAGAGAGGAGGGTGGAGGACTTTCAAAGCACAACCAACCACGACTGTGTGTCTCCAAGGGAGGAGGCTCTTATGTGCTCGTAAAGGAACAAGCACCACACCTCCCTCCAGCCCAGTGTCCATTCCACCTACAGGTGAAAATAATTACTACTGAAATACAACAGTACTTCCCAATGCTTCCTTAGCAGGATAGCACAGAGGCTTCCACCTTATAGTTCTGCTGTGCTGAGGTCAGCTACAAATCTCACCAGACTCAAACCAATGAATCATACATGAAGTCCATTCCTTTGTAGGGGAGAACCCGCTGAGGTGTCTCCATGTCTCTACTCACTATACCACTGTCCATCTGTCTGCTTCCTCCTTTTCCTACTTCTCTTCTAAAGACCCTTGGCAGTGTGTTGGGCTTCCTCTTCCTCCTTCCTTCCTTCCTTTTCTTCTTCCTCCTCCTCCTCCTCCTCCTCCTCCTCCTCCTCCTCCTCCTCCTCCTTCTCCTCCTTCTTCCTGTTTTCTTTTTTGGTCTTTTTGAGGCAGGGTTTCTCTGTGTAACAGTCCTGGCTGTCCTGGAACTCTTTTTGTAGACCAGGCTGACTTCAAACTTACAGAGATCCACCTGCACTGCCTCTTGAGTGCTGGCGTTAAAGGTGTGTGCCACCACTGCCTGGCTACACCACCACTGCCTGGCAGGCCCTTTCTTCTTGCATTGGTTCTACTCAACATAACCAAAGCCATCCTGAGTCATAATCACCATGATTACTACTATCCCCATTTCACCCTGGTTGTGTTTTCCTGCACAGTTCCCTAGCAAACCACAGATAAGATTAGTAATCACAATCCAGTCTCCGAAGATGTGCCTGACTCTTCCTATTATCTTATGACAAACTATAGATGATTTTTTTTGTCCTGACCACCCATTTCTAAATAAACACACAGAGGCTTATATTAATTACAAATGCTTGGCCAATAGCTCAAGCTTGTTACTAAGTCTTACCT